GCAACTGGCAGTTTGAAGACTTAAGCTGTGAAACAACAGCAATTATCAGCAGAGAATTTGTAAGTTGACACATATTTAGTCAAGATGACTTTCAATAAGTCAGAATCACATTATCACAGTGCTCCCCATACTATATTTTAAGCCCTTGCTCCAAAGGGAGTAACTAAAGTCTTTTATCAGAACTGCAGTAACACTGAAGTCTTTTATCAGAACTGCATTATATTTAACAGGGGAATTTTGTTTGTGCATTTCATTCTGAGGAATGCATCTATGACTTTTTGTTGTTGTTGTTGTTTTTGTTTAATTTGGTACAAAGGTTCTGAATCATGAGTCCTTACAGATGTAGCTACATTTGAAACACTGCACTTCTCTTGCCACCTTCCCACTGCACATCCTTCTGTAGGAGATAACCATCCTTCAGCACTCATGGAGGCACCAGGTTGGTGGGTGGTGCAGCTAACTCTGCAACTTAACAGTGATTTGAAAGGAGAAGAAAAACTTAAACACTCCGATTATTGAGATTCCAGTTGATGCAAACGTTTTATAACATAGCTATAACTAAATTTTCAGCTATGTATTTCTTATACTTTACTGAGTGTTTGAAGAAGCAAAGCAATGACATTGCATAGCCACATGTGGTTATGTACCCACATGACACACAGAACCAAAACCTGAAAATATTATCCCAGAACTTCTACAAATAACATCAGGTACCCTTTATACTTTGCAATATTTTTGTACCTGTAGTGTACATTTAAATGATTTTACACTAAAATATTAAATAAATAATAAATAAATGACTACTTAATTACATATTATTCAGATGTGCATTTAATAAAGACTGTGAAAAAAATATAATCTGTTCTTTTCATGTTTTATGGTGCAACGTCTCAAAAACTCTTTTCCCAGTTTGACCTCATCTGGCACCTACATAATAACAATATTGGATTAGGAGCCTGCTACTCATAGATAAAGCAACCGCACAGTGTAAGATGACATTTAATTACATACATTCTACAGAAATGTAGAATTTATATTGCTTTTACTCACATTCAACTTTGTGTTAAATAATAGATGCAGGTAATTAAATAGTGTTTTAGCTAACATGTAGCAGACTAACCAGCTTAAATATAGTAAACAGATTTTTTTGGCATATATTTTGACATCTACTTTATGTTTAAAAAAAGCATCCCCTTTCAACAGCATGAAACAAACAAAGTGTGTATTCAAATTTGGGAACAAAATCTCCTCTCAGTAACAGTGGTGAGAAAGTCGAGTTAGTCCCAGCACACCCAGATAACATCTTTGAAAGGATTTAAAGATAATGGAGAATATTTCTTTAAATAATCATGCCTATGGTTACCCCATTACTCTAAAATAACAGATAGCAACAGCTTTGATGAAGAGATAGTGGACTCAATTTAACTTGCCTTTTCTCTCATTTTCTTCTGAGTGTCCAGTAGAAGAACCTTTATGCTTTAGTCATTCTCTGAATGCTTACTATATGTATGCTAAATTCACTATTAGCAATTCCATGCCTCTAGGAGAGCCCTTTTAGGATAAAGAATATAGCTAAATTAATAGTTGCTAGATAGTATCTAAGTTTGTTAGAACGAGTACAATTTCCTTACAATCTTGATGTTTGTTGTTAACTGCTGATAGAACTTTCAGAAAGAAATACACAGATATAGTTTTGACTGATGTTGCTTCTTTTTTTTTATTTTTTTGGAACTATGTTAAGATTCTCACATTTTTCCTCTAACTAGGCTAATACTGATAGTTTAAATATTAAACTCAGGTTAAATCTGGCTACTTCCAAAATTTCCTCTATAGTTTGATTAGTTTCAGTTTCTCAAGTGACATAAAGTCAGTTTTTGAGAATTTATTAAAATGTCAAACTGAAGTTTGCAAGGTTATCCCACTACAGATAAAAGATCTTAAGGAACTAGGGTCTGTATTAGGTAATAAGCATTCATATTTCTTTACATTAAAAATCTAGGCTATCTCATAGGAGTGTGGGTTCATGCAAAAACCTTACAATTTGACAAAAATTAATTAGAAGGTCTGTACTAAATATCCAGGGAACAAATGAACATGATTTCTCACTTTGAGTTAGCAGTATACACAGTACAATTCTGACATTTTTCATGATACAGCAACAGATACAAATTTGAATTGTAAAATTACCTTGCCAACAAAAATAAGTATATGATTTAATAGCCACATTTGACATATTTAAAGGTTTGTGTCTGAAATTGAAATTGTCTCCACATAAATTTTAAAAATTGTGTCTTTCACAGCTTTTAATTTCTGTTATTTTTATTTTATTTTCTGTTCTAACTATGCATTCAGTTTTGAAGGAATATTGACATTTATTATTCTTGAGGTCATTAAGCATTTTGTATGTGGTTTCAACTAACTCCTTAGTGCCACATACCTTATAGAACTCTATGTTGAATTATGTAGAAAAGGAAGAGAAGAATTTTCTTACTCATACTTTAAGTAAGCAACTGAGCATATCTATAAGAAGGGACTTTTTCAAAATCCCCTTTTTGCAAAGAGCTTCAGGGGCCAAATGGACCATGGAAAGAGGAAAACCATCAGAGCTGTGGGAAAGCAAAATGTGATTTGTTTTCAGAGCCAAATGTGGATGACATGTAGAGAGATTATAAACCTATACAAAAGTTCAGTTTTTCCAATTCTCCAAACTGCCTGCAGTCCCAGGAGTTTTCAGGATCAGCACCATTAAAGAGCTACTTTCTGGACACCACTGGGTTTTTATTATGTAACAGAGTCAGTGTCACAAATATTCTCTAAAAAAATTTGAAGTCTAATAATTTTTCCATTCCTAAAACCAGTGCCAAACTAATGAATATAAAGCATGGTAAAGTTTGGGAACAGTCTTCCTGTTCTCTTCAGCGTTGCCTAAAACCAATACACTTCAGAGACTGTATGTTGCAACAGTTATAACCAGTCAGCAATTGGATTACACAGGCAACAACTCACCAGGTATGAAGAGGAGAACTTCTCTGTGTGTTTTGGAAAACACAGACAACATATAAACGTGTTCAGAGATTCAGAGCACACCTGACAAGCAAATGCCTATTAATCTAGAATGGTCATGTGAAAATTCAATAATCTCATCACCAGCAAATTCCTGACACTGTTTTTCTAACACATTCTGGAAAAACGAATTCTTTTTCTCTAAATCAAGTCAGTCCAATAGGGATGATTTGATTGAAATGATGGGGAAATATTGTGGTGCTGTACTTCAAGCAAACTTTCACTGCTATGCATTCATCTGTGAGGCAGCAAGAGAACTGGCACAGTGAACAAACCCAGCAGCATTCCATAAGACATACGCAGGCTCAGAGGACAAGTTTAGATACTATTTCAAGCATGAGTGCTCTAAAAATCAACATAATATTATATCCCAAATGCATTCTGTAATTTTCTTTTAAGGAAACAGCTCAGAATCTTCAAGTTATTTATTGCCTTCTGTGTGAAAATCAGACAGTCTCATGACTCAACTAAATAGGTTGTATTTTCCATAAGTTAAATAGAAATATTAAATAATATATTGTAAAAAAGAGGTTAATTTATGATCTACCATACTTGTAAGTAATACAGTCAGTATCCTGGATTCTAAATACTTGACCATTTTTCAATATATTTATTTTTTGCTCACTTGACTTTTTTTTTGGACAAATTAAATTAAAAATCACTGAAATAGATTTATTTATTTTAATTCCTTTTGGTACTCTTTTTTTAAACTTATCAAAATAGAAATAATTAATTATTTTTTTTCTTCTGAAATAAGAAAAATATTATAATCTTCTGAAGAATATTGTCTTGCATTCCCTATAATCATTGACCACCACATCACTGTTCTTTTAAGAAATATTAACCTTTTCTGTTCAATATAGCTCACTAAAAGGCACTGAAATTCTTTGTATTACAGTTGGGTAACCCAACTATGTGCTTTGATGTCACTTGAGGAATAACCTCTAACGTGAATCTGTAAAAGTATTAACTCCAAATATTAGCCATATGTCACTGGAGATTACAAAATATATCTACATTACTCCTTGCTATATTCAACTGTGAAATAAGACAATATCTGGCAATCATTTCTCTCATTATAAAATGCAGGTTTTCAACTTGGTGCATAAGAAGCTGGAAGATTTTAAAAATTAAAGGTAATAAATGCTTTCTGTTTTGATTTTCTGACCTGAAGACAATGAGGTGGAAAAGATCAATAATTTTTTTAATGTCACAAAGTCATTGCCACAATTAATTCAGCAAAATGAAATACATTATTCAGTTATTGGTGAAATGTTTTTTTCTACAGCATTAAAATTCATAAAGCTTGAGAAAGCTCTGCTCACTCTTTGGAAAGTTCCATCAGGCAAAACATTAGTAAGGTTAGTCACAGTCAGAGGTGCCTCTAAACACAAAGACCCTGACTTCATACATGTTGCCCTAAGCTTTTTTTTTTTTTATTAAAATTGCTCAGAAGTTTGAGCAAAGCCAAACACAGAACACAGTACTAGAATACACTTTTGTTACACCTGCGAACTGCACTGTATCCAATAGGAGCATTACATTAACATGGAGCTAAAATTATCTGGTTTTATACCTCTTTATTCAGCAGCAAAAATCATCAAGTCTACTGCTCGATCTCTTAAAAAGATATTCAGCACAAAGAATTTGTTAATACCTAAAAATATTTTTATAAAAAAGGACAATTAACTCAATTAACTATCTGTACATTTTCTCATATATTTTTTTCAAATTCCCTCCTGGCAAAGATAGACTCACTTGACAGTGTTGTCAGCCTTATGTGCACTTTGTATCTTTTAATGTATCTCATGTAACCAGTGGATAAATGAGTAGGGAAATGCTAATCTCTGGGATTAGGTAAATAAATTTGCTATTTCCTTTATCAAGCTACCATGCTGGAGTAACTCCCATGTTCCTAATTGCAGGCTGGTATTTACCTCTCTCTGTCCGGGGAGTAGTGGTCGTCTATGACTCGGTGCCTATCCATGCGGTTCAGGGTGTTGTAATGCGCAGCGGTAGATCGAGTCCCTCGTGGTCCCTGATCCACATTCCGACTAAGGATAAAAGAGATCAGATTCTGAGTTTTGAGTGTGCCCGCACTGTATACCCTCACTGGATTGTACAGACAAGTATTAGTAAACATGTTTGTAATGAGATCTGCTAGCTGACATAGCTTTTGCATAAATTTACTCTGAAGTAATGTTAGAATTCAAAAAAATTTGCTCATTTAGAAAAAGGTGCCAAGTCCCTGATAGGGATAGAGTTTTCTTCCTTTGTTTCAATATTTGTTTGTTTTGGAAATGAGAAGAAAACTTTTTTTTTAATTAGAAAGGTTAATTTCAGACAAAATTTCATTAGTCTTTCCAGACTAGTACCTTCAAGGAGAATTTCCTTCTAGCTGAAACATGCACTGTAAAAAACTTTTCATGAGCTCTTGATTTTGCTATACCATAAAGATGTAAAATGTAGTAAGTTACAATGGGGACTTCTGGCTGTTAGAGTGGAGTGTAACCTGCTGAAATCATTGTCATCTGAATTAAAAATAGCTGCTTGTTTGTCCTGGAAAAATTTATTCTATAATCTCATAGAGAATCTGAAAGAGACAGAACTGTTTAATTAGAGTAAGTGGTGCCCACAGTGCAGGCTTTGTTAAATAGCACCAATAACCTTTGCAGTTTTGTACTATTTGAGACCAAAGCTTTGCCCATCGATTGCTTTACTCAGTTCAACTATTGATACCTACTGATACACACTAACTTCACTTTTTCTGCTCTGTAAAAAAAATCCACAAGAATAGGAAGATCGAAGACAAGTTAACTGTAATAATTATTAGATAATTAAAACAATTGTTTTGTATGGATTTGAAAATGACAGATTGCATGCTTCCCTCCACACAAATTCAAGTTTTAGGCCAATAAATTCTTCTGTCTCCTGTCTTTTACTGCTATCTGCACTAATGTGAGCCTCTGATTTGGTTTTTGTTGCTGTTGATTTTTATCACTCAGATCCTGTGTCCTTTCTTGTCACTTTGTCTGCCCTTTTGGTACCATTATCCTTATCCTTTGCCATTTACCAATTCCTGATTAGTGTTAACCTGTATATGTATCCTTCACTGCTGCTGCCATGCTGTTGTTTATTTCTGCATATAAGTGCTATGAAGATGTTGCAGTACACATAAACTTTTGCCTTCGGCTCCATCTCATTTGTTATAAAGCATTTCTCCACTCTGGCATTCATGAAACCAAATATGGCTGATGAACTTTATATTTTCCATATTAATAGTACAATTCTTCTACCTTCTGGTCTAAAACTCTTTCTTTCAAGAACTTTTCTGTATGTCTTTTAACCCTCCCATTTATACTGAAAAGATAGAAAATCCAGTATAGCCTTTACCTGCCATTGAATACTTTCATGTGTATTTGTACTTTAAAATGGACATTGACAAGGTTCTTCTGGTGTCTTTTGTTAACTCTTTTATTTTCCCAACAACTAGTTCTCATTCCTCCTTTCTGTACTCTAGTTTCTGTCCGACCCTTTTCCCCAGGGTCTCTCTTTTGATTCAGGTTTCAAAAAAACTATTTTATCTTACTTATGTCTTCTTTTCACTTAATATTTACGTTTTCCCAAGCTATCATTTCTTTGTAAAACTTCCCAAAGATCTGGGCTCTCTGGCCAGTAAATCAAAACTCCTGTCAAAACTCTGACTATAAGACTTAGTCCTGAAAACTCAATACCATCCTCTCTGCTAAAATCACTTTCCATAAGATTATGTTATGAGCTTATTTCTCTAAATAATTTTTTTTCTTGAAATTTCTGTATTATCAGATTCTGACTTCATGCTGATTTTTAACATCTTACAGTACTGTATTTCTTCTATTTCAAAGTGTTAATACTATTTCAATCCTGTTTCACTCTGCTGAGGATATCTTTATCAGCCAGATTTACTATTTAACAGAAAGTGACATACTTCCTCTAATGAACCTTGTTTTATAAGAAAAGTTTCTTTCACAACACGTGAAACTCCTTTGGAACTTTCTTGCAGTTGACAGAACACGTACGGAGCAACTCGATAACAAGTACGCAGGTGAAAAGTTGTAATTGCAGGTGATGATGGTAGAGAATAATAAACATCCTGGATTTATCACACTATTTCATTATAACTACTTTCTGTAGTCACCTTCATCTTGCTTTTTCAAATGCATAGGTTTAGAAAAAGCTTAACTCAATGTTGTTCCATGCCTCCCACAGTCTAAACTTCATTCTGATCTACAGAGAGAATAAGAGTCCATTAAATGTGTTAGCTGAAAACACCACAAGACCAGTATCAATTTCTTGTCAGCTACTATGCAGTGGGCCTTCGGTGGAGTTTATGAAAAAAATTCAGTAGGACTGAGGACTGAAAAGTGGCTTCTAAGATATAACTTCTATGGCCCAAGATCTCCTGCCTGCAGAGGTGTCAGTCACTAAATGAGAAATCTCTGGGTGTGCAGCACGCTTAGTGCAATTAGGACATCTGTATAGCAGCATGTGTATAACAAACTCAGTTAAAGAGGGTGCATATGTGATTGATAATGCTCATAGCTTTCCTGAGTACCCCTGCATTTTCCGTAGATTTTAAAAAGACATTCCTGCAACCCATGGATTAAGCTTCTTTTCTACAAATGCTCAAGTTCTGGTATCCCAATTCTTTGAGCTCAACAAGTCCTCAAAGAAAAGATTTGGTGTGTTGGCAGGGAAATATTACATAAATAATGCATTTGATTCTGACATTGTAGGAAACAGCTGCAATAAATTTAAAACTATATTTAAATATTTAGCTTTAGGAAATTCAAAAGCAAGAAACATTTTGAACCCTTAGAGAAATACAAAACTACAAAAAAAATGAAGTGTTTTCAATAGTGTTAAACAAGTGTTAATTACTAGCTTGGGTTAAAGTTTGGCCCAAAATGCATACAGTACGCATGCACACATGAAAACACAAACATACACATACAAAGAGATTTTGCTCACATTTCCATTTTTATCCAAGACAAATAAACCCTTAAGATTTAGCATAGGCAATTACTTAGGCTGAAATCAGTATAGTAAAAATCAGGATGGGTCCCTTTTTATCTACTGTTTATGTCTCATTTCAAGTCAGACTGTGTGGTTTTATATGGGTGTAGATTTCAAGTAGAAACACACAGTTTCTCCCTGTTAGCTGTATGAGATGATATGGGATTCTTTGGGACCCTAATACCTCACTAATGCAAAAGGATATCATATAGTCTACATTTGTTAGAGGAAATGGGAGGTAAAAATGAAATTAAAAAGTAGGAAGTCAAGAGAATTTAAAGTTAACAAAAAGAACAAAGATAACAGAAGGGAAAGCAGAGCACAAGAGAATCAGAATAGCTGCAGCAGAAAGGGATAGACATGTTTACCTGGCAGGAAATATTGGATACCACATCTGAACTATTAAAGGGAAATTGTGAACATTATGGGCAAAAGAAATAACTTCTTTCATTCCAACTGAATTAAACCATTTGGAAATGTATCCATACATAGCAACAAAAGTGCTGGAAAACAGGCTTCATTCCCGTTTACATCTATCCTTCTTCTTCCTCTTAAGAAAGTTTATTTTGCAGGAGTTTTCTTAATTCTTGCTTAAACAGTATATTCAACCAAGTAGAGGTCATTACCCAAAAGGGACTGCTTTTGGAAGAAATTTCCTGATCTTTGTTTCACAAGATAAACAGTTATTAGAGACCTTCTAAGACCAGGAGTTGACATTTTTCAATATAAAATTGTATGTGTGTCAGCTTATTCTTGATGCTTGATAAAACTATGAAAAAAACTAGTAGAAAGCAAGCTACTGCAGGTAGGAAGTGCAGCTCTCCCAGAACCTTGACTCTGGGAAGGGTTGAAAGGGTTGAAAACATCCATTGTCAAATGAGTGTTAAGGGAATGTCAAACCATCACATACTATAAAATATGGCACCTTCTAAATAGCTCTAGAAAATGAAAATATGGAGAATATTTTGCTTTCCTTAGATTGAACTGCACTGATTTTTGATGAAAAATTAGGCAAAAATAGGCATAAGTAATTGTATAATCATATGTATTTATATATAAAAATATAGAATTATATAATCATATGATAAAAATAAAATAATAATAAAGACTATAAACAAGATAAAATTAGGTATAAATTAGGCACATCAGTATAACATAAGAACAAACATTATTGGCTTTATATAATTTTTTAAGATCTAACCAGTTCCTTGCCATTTTGAAAGTCTGGAGATTCTTTCCAGTATTGGTACAGGATCAATACCACTAAAATGTACATAACTGTGTAGTTAAACAACAGTTTACCTTTGTGGGGGAGGGACACTGGGAGACCACGATCTAGTCCGTCCTATACTATCTCCACGGTGAGGGGACCCTGATCGAGAACAATGATTAGATGACATAACTTGTTCTGGCACTGATAATGTTGAACTTTGAAGATCTCTCCCATTATGTCGATAATCTAAAAAGAAATGCAAATATTCAGTGAATCTGAAGTTGCACTTTTTAATTTCCTACTGTAACTGTAGTAGTGAGAAACACAATAAAAGATGGAATTTGATCAAGAATGTTATCATGTCTTCTTGTGTTCTATAACAAAACATACATACCTAAAGTTGACTCCTGTCGTTACAATTTATTGTAGTATCAATACAGTTCCTATAGTTATGCTTTAAGAATATAGAAATTAATTACATATGCACCAAACTAGAGATTTATAATAATAAAAATACCCAAATTTAAATTTATTTGTGGTTGATATGATGCATTAATAATGAAACTAATAAAACATTTTTTTCTTTGAATAACAAAATTATTACTTTTTTAATTAAAATTATATTGCAACTATTGTGTGTAATGTATCTCAGACAAAAATGTCCACAATTAAAAATTAACCCAAAGTTCAGTTTAAAAATTCGTGGTAGGAAACTACTATGGAGTTAAAAAAAGAGTTTGGGTTTAAGAAAGATTTGTATATGTGAAATGATTAAAGTAACAAGAACTCGATGATATCAGATTTCACTCATGATTCTGAATTAAAACACAATATTTCCTTCACAAATATACAAGCATCCTGGACCTAATCTTGAATTAGGATAACAGAAGGTATAAATGGTCTCAGCAGAAGTCTTCCAAAGGCTACCAGATGGACATTTTACACAGGTTTTTAAGAAGAATCCTTTTAAAAGCTGGATTTATTGAAGTGACTGCATTTAATTCAAAAAAGTTCAATTCAGTGTCCCTGGGTGCCACAGTCTCTGGAAAAAAGATGCCAGATATACAGCAATTTCAAATAAGTTTCCAAAAATTTTTTGAAGATCAAATTAAAACATGATGATAAGGAATTGAAGGTTTGCAATTCTTAACCTGATTACAGTGTTTTGCAGAAAGAAGTCTTCAGAGAGTTCTTGGTGGCTATGACAACTGATATAACTGTCTTCTTTTATTCTAAAGACAGTAACCAAGTAAAGAATATTTAGAGAGATCCACCTGACACTGGAAAAATGTTGGCTCATAACACTGTTATTCTTTTACCATGAGAATCTTCTGAGACTACAATAGTATTTGGTCTTCTACTCCATAACTTGTTATTTTTCTTCCTGGTAAATGTTCAGTAAGGTCCAAAGCAAAACCTCACTAATTCAGTCCAATGTTCAACAGTTTCAACTGAGTATTCATATTTATTGCATGGCCTTAGGACCAAGGATGTATATGAACCACTCTAATTCATAAATAACTTTTTCCTCCTATGTTAAGGTGTAAACTGCTTTGTGTGTATCTGGTATGTGTGTAAATAGGGGGAAAAAAAGGGACATCACCGTTACATTACATTAAGATAATGATGTTGAGGATCAGATAGTCTCTCCTCACTACACAGCAATCAAATGATGTTATGTGTAGCCTCAGCTGAGAGTCAGTAATGAACTACAGATTTTTATCTGTATGAAGTTCACTTCTTAGCATATGCACTGACAAAACAAATAAGGGACAGCGCAACATAGTTCTGGGTGAAATCACCAAAGGAGAGACGGGGAAATTTTATCTCTGGTTGAAACAGGCTATTATTCACTCACCAGTAAAGCAGAGAAGACAAATAAATAAAGTTTTTGCAAATTAGTCTGGAGATCAAGAGACTCTGCAATTCCATAATTCTTTAACCAAAAGATAAATAGTTAAAGTAACAGTACTGGAGAGCCCACACAGCAGCAGGCTCCTGGCAGGACATATGAAGATGTGGAAAGAGAAGCCCACATTGGAGCAGGTTTGCTGGCAGGACTTGTGACCCATGCTGGAGCAGTTCATTCCTGAAGGACTGCATCCCACGTGAGGGACCCACACTGGAGCAATTCGTGAAGAACTGCAGCCCATGGGAAGGATTCACGTCAGAATTTCATTGAGAACTGTCTCCCATGATAGGAACACCCCACTGGAGCAGAGGAATTGAGTGAGGGGTCCTCCCCCTGAGGAGGATGTGTGAATTGACTGACTGCAGCCCCCATTCCCCATCCTCCTGTGTTGCTGGGGGAAGAGGTAGAGAATCAGGAGTAAAGTTGAGTCCAGAGAGAAGGGAGGGGTGGGAGGAAAGTGTTTTAGAATTTAAGGGGGGAGGTGGTATTTTCTCATTATCCTACCCTGATTTGATTGGTAATAAACTAGATTAATTTCCTGAAGTTGTCTGTTTTGCCCATGACAGTAACTGGTGAAGGATCTCTCCCTGTCCTATCTCAACCCACAAGTCTGTTACACTCTTGATTCAGAAGGGGAGTGATGGAGTGGCTTTGGTGAGCACCTGGAGTCTAGTCAGGGTCAATCCACCACACACATAAGTGAGTAGCAAGTTATTAAGAACTTCTATATACTGAAATAAAAAACATGATTTACAGTACAAGTACACAGACAGAAATATTGTCTTATTATCCTAATAACACATATCTATTGATATAAAAAAAGCAGAGATGGTTTTTTGTATTCTGGATACAAAGGGAGAATTTGTTGCATTTGGAGATTGAAAACAATGAAGAGCAGTAATCTGAAGAAATAAGAAAATCCTTTAGAAAAAAATCAACAGTTTATATAATATTTGGCATGTACAGATATTGAAGTACAAGAGGAATGATAATAGCATAAGGTATTCTACCTGAATAAACATAATGAAAGGCAAGGTAATCAGTTAACAAAACACAAAAACCTCCTTTGTCTGAAAAATTCCTCAAAGTGAGAACTAGTAAATCAAAATTATTGTATTTATTAAATCTATATAAAGAAACAAATCTGTATATAGAAACAAATTAATTCCTTTGAGGAAAAAAGCCTTCTCCAGCTCTAACTTGTTATTGTAGTTGACCACTTGCACAGTATTGTTGCAAAAAAAGTTTATGATTATGTAATTAACTGCTAAGTCTAAGCTTGACCAAAACTGGGGTTTACATTAAACTGGAAACAGATAGGTATTTCTTTCTGGTAACTATCACTGGTCCTGCTTCCTTATGACATATCAAAAGGCAGAAACTATCAGTATTCCCAGTAATTTTGCATCAACAAAACTAGACCTGTTTAGCTGTGTTCAAAGAAACAGATTATTTTCTATGCTTTGTTGCCAGAAAATAAACTTTGAAATTCATGACTCATTTACTCAAAACAAAAATTTCTATATTTATAAACTTCTTTTTAGGTAACAGGTCACACATTCAAGAGTAGCAGTTTCAGTAGGGCAACCCACTAACATGAGATAATTCCAAAGTCATCTTTTGGTTTTCTAGAATTAATGCAGCTGATTTAACTGCCTGTACTGTAGGTGTGATTTAACTTCAATTTCAAAACTATTCCATGTGTCCTGGAAACAAGGTTAGTGAAAGTAGGTAAAAATATATTCTTGTGGAAGGATTATAGACAGAAAACAGGTCATAAATGCAGCTTGACCAACGAGTTGCTATTGAGCAAAGCAGATAATTATTTATAGCAGTAGTAAAAACAGGATAAACATTGGAATCTGCTTGCAGCTATAAATACTGAGTCATTACCATAGAACCAAAGGCTTTATAACTACGGCAAGCCTCTTAAATCAACATAGAGAGCACACAGAACCTGATAATCAGTATAGAGATAATCAGCGATAAACAACTTGAGCTGCAGACACCTAAAGACATGACAAAGATATCCTCAATGCCACCATCTTTTTCTTTTCATGGGAAGTTTTCATTAAAAACCAATTCACATCAAAAAAGGGATATTACAAGGCACACTACATACAGCTTATTCGGACCTGAAGTTTTAATTTTATTTGTTTTAGGGGAGACTATTAATATATTTGACTTAAATTATTTACCCACACAGCATGGCTTTACTATGCAAATATTATGCTACGAAGGGTACATGTTCCGTAAATACTGATATTAATGAATTCTTACAAATTCTGCAGCTTTCAGGCACAAAATTGAAGAAAATTACAAACTTCCAAGTATGAAGTTCATATCAACAGCCCTAAAATAACCCTAAAAAATTAACTGAAGTGTAATAATGAAGATTTTAATTTAGATGCCTTGCTGCTTTGTTGACTTGACAGAAACTCCTTGTATGAAAATTGTTCTAGAAAGACAATATTAGAATTTTTGTTTGTCACAGGCAACACAATTGACTTGTTTCTGACACTGATGCTAAGTGGTGTTTTCTGCACTTTAGCATCTGTACTTGATTGAGGCATCAAGCTTTCTCTATATCAGATATTTAACTTTTTAACACTCACTGTGGTTGGGCTTAGAACAAGCACTAATTAAAAGCAATTATATAATCATATTACCAGAAATGCTTAACATAGCAAGATTTCACACATGGGCACTTTGGAGAGAGTTCAGTTCTTTTATACAAACGTACTCAGCTTCTATGGTGATTTGAACATCTAAATGAAGAATTTAGATGTCCTCTAAAACAAGTGCTGACAGTAACTGATAAAATAAATTGAATTATTAATATCTGAATAGTCTATAAGTTGAAGATACATTATTCATGGCTTTGGGGAATTTTTTTGCATCATAATATTATTCTACAAATGTGGGAAAAATGAATGTGTAGTTAAAGGAACAATATTACAGTAGGAACAACTGGTTACTTCCTCTGTAGTAACTCAGTTCCTTAAAGGTATTTTTAGCTCTACAGCACTGATGGTATTTATAGGCCCATCACACTTGAGACAATTCTTTTGATCATTAAGGTGTATGGAAGAGCATTCCCACACAGTAATAAACTAGAGCTTACTGTGTTTTCAGTCCTGTCCCTATACCCAGTAAGACTTGCAAAGTCTGGGGGGAAAAGGAACCAAACTACCAGTTACTATACAGATGTTCCTTCTTAGTTAAGTACTCATCTATGTATATTTTCACGTGTCCCGCAAGTCAGATTAGCCCTCCTCACACCGTTGATTAGAATTTATCAGTCTTTTCATGTAGCATTTCCTTCTTAGAAGTGCTCATCACCACGATTGTAATTCATCCCAGCTAGGCTTGCCCTTCTGTGAGAAGTATCCATCAAGAGCATCTCTGATAGGAATGCAGCTTCACTGCACATTTCTGTTGCCTATTATGTGTCTGTTGCTCTGTAGGCATTAGGACTGTGATAGAATAAAAACTAACATGTTGAGCTCATACTTGCTTAACTTCACTCCAAAAGAATGCTACTGATAATTACTAATAATCTGAAAATAAAACTTTGATTAAATTACATTTTTACTTTCATAGTAGAGTGATATAGCTTATATTTAAAAATCATTTAAAACTAGTTTCAACTAGTTTTAAAAAAAACATTGAGAGAATTTAGATGTTTGAAGAGGAAGATGACAGCTGAGGAAATGATACTAAAGATTTTATTTAATAGTAAAAATGCTAAGTTAAAAATTCAAATAGTAAGAGAACAAACGTAAAAATAAAAAGTATACATTAAGAAATGAAACTAAAAATGCAAGGAGAAGCTTGAACATGTACCCTTCATAGCATAATATTTGCATAGTAAATCCATACTGTGTAGATAAAAACTTTGAGTCAAATATATTAATATTCTCTCTTAAAACTGATAAAATTAAAACTACAGGTCTGAATTATAAAAATGTGTTAAGAACTCTGAGCATAAAAGTAACGTATACATAATTTATTTAAAAGTAAGGAAAATGATTAAAGATCTATTGACCTAGAGGGTCAGCCATTTTAACATGGCTTGAACTTCCCTTCCAGTTTGGGGGGGATTTTTGAGGCACATAGACTATTGTTTTCAACTCAAGGGAGAACCTGGAAAGAACAGATTTTAGAGCAGGACATTGGGTATTAACATATAATAAAAGAAGAAGGTTGTGAGTGTTTATGTCTGTAGTTACTGGGCTTTTGGGTCACTGCAGGCTCTCATTTAAGGTTAGCTAGTGATCTACAATGAAATCCATATTTTAGTAAGGATAGAAGTCACACACTCTATGTGCTAACACTGTCTTTCTATAGGCAGTTGATCCCAAGCTATAACCAAAGTGTTTGTGTGTTCTGTATCTGCTTTGAGAAGCAATTATCAACAAGATTCAAGTATAAAATTCAGCTCACACTATTAGCAAGTAGAGAAAAGGATTTTGGTTTCCTCTGCAGGGAGGGCTGCAACTTGACAGTGAAAGAATTCTTTTGAAAAAAAGGACTCCTCAGGTGTTTTGAGAAGTAAAACAAAAATGGATAATTGCTTTTCATTCTTCTTCAAACACAGAAATAATAATTTCTTTACTGATTGTTACTGGTTTTTTTCTAATTTACTTGGTTCTAACTATCCTCTGAATAAATATCTTATTTGTATTCTTATTTGCTCCTGAAACATACTGCTATCTTTTGCATAATGACAAAAACTTATCACTATAAATGTATTTCATCTCAAGGCTGTGGACTTCATTCTTTTACTTGGTAAAGCTCTTCTCTACAGAGATTTGCAATGCAGTTTATACAGAATTCACTGCTTTACATTCTCCCATAATTCATCTGTTGAAACATCTCAGATTAATAGCATTTCATAATACACTGGAATGCTAATGAGATATTGGTGTAGAACTGAATTTTAAACATTAATATCTCAATATTTTAGCCTTACAAGAATGATGAGAATTTTATGATTAAATGATCTTGACAATACGTGTCTCTGTTCATAAAGTCAGACTCAGTGGGTTTCTTGTACTCAGTAGGTTACAGCAGGTTCAACATAAAACTATGAAGTATCCGGGAGGAAAACTATTTAGAAATTATAGTCCATATTCATTGAACTTGTTAACTATAATGCCCAATGTTCAATTTTGGACACTGGAAAGAAAAAAAAAAAAACACACTCAAAAATCCACCCTGTTTTTTTCTGAACTGTATTTAGTGTTGTAACCTAAATAATGTTTTGTAAAGTGCTCTGGAATTTTTCAAAAATCAATATAAATATATTGTATTGCTTTTATCAGTAAGCACGTAAGAGCATCCTAAAGGGCATGTGGAAATGCTGATGTACACCCACACAGAGCTGCTGGTGACAGACAACTTTGAGGGCCAAAGTTTATTATTCAGGACACCAAAACTAATGCTTTAAATGGTTTGAGGGCTATGCATAAGCAATCTAAAGACAAACACAGAACTGTTAATGCTGCTCCTTCTTCTATCCTGTGCTGATTAAATCCAGCAAAGATGAAATATAATAGATCTGTTCTAGTCTTTCTGATCCTATGATGAATGTACATTATATTTGAAGAGAGTTATTTTAAATTCTTCTAAAAATTTCTTTTTAAATACGTAATATCACAAAACCCTTTGTGACAGTTGCTGGTGTAGAATACACGTGTAGCCAGAAAAAAAGACACAGAAGTTTTTCAATCTATTTATCATTGGTTTCTTAAAAGCCTTTCCTGTTGACAGAAACAAGAGACTGATATTTATTTCATTTTTCTAAGCAGGCTGATCCAAGCCACAAGAAGGGATGGCTTCTGTGAATAATTTTTCCAAGAGATGATTAAATATTAAAATGGTTTGAATTGGAAGGGAACTTTAAAAGACATCTAGTCAACCATTATGAATAAAAGTAAATTAAAGAGGAGCCAAAACAGAATTCCTGTTCTTCTTCAAGATTTCTAGAGTTTAATTCACAGGTGCAATACTTGGAATATGCATTAATTTTACAGAAAGGATCACTGAGAGTACTCAACAGATCTTAGCAAACATACTTCATGTAATACAGTATTTATATGGCAGACAGAAAAAGAGCAAAGTGAAGTGTCATGTTAAATAAGACCTGAAAATACAAAATGAAAGAACTGGGGTAAATAAGAAAGAAAGAAAACAAAGAGAGACAAATGGCTTCATGCAAAGAAGGCATATATTTAAATTAAGATTGCGATGAGTCTGCAAATGAGTAGAGGAACCTTAAATGAGAGAGGGATGATAAGGAGAGTGGAAGATAAGACAAAGATAAACCAAAAGATTTGCAAACACAGAGACAGCAGCACAAAAAAAGAAAGGCAATAAATTAATATTTCAAAACCAAAAAGATCATCAAACTTTCCTACCACACAGACAGGTTGAATTAAAATGCAACTAAGGTGTAGAATTGTCAGTAAAAATGCAAAAGCTAAAAGATCCTAAAGGTACATCAGAAACTCAGGTAAGGGAAGTAGACTTATTCACTGAACTGTAAAGACCATAATTTTACAAGTTGTCAAAATATGAGTTTATCAAATCATAAAATTTTAAATCTAGATGTTTCAAAAGAATCTCTCTAATGTTCAAGCACCTGGCAAAACTCAGTACCTTTTTCCAGGACAAGAAAATTATAACAGCTTTAAAATGATGCCACAGTAGGCACTCTAGAAATATATCCATCAATCCCCCTTTTTCCCTACCATTATTATTACGCTCCAAAGTTAAGTTGATACATTTCTAATTTAACTCATCAACAGCAATATGGGAGCCCTTATTTTTGGGAGGACAGGCAATCTGAAAGCCTTAGTGCCTATTAATCAAATGACCATTTCTAGGCATTTAATAAAAACAGTACTTTTATGCTATTTTTTCATTTTATAAAAGCAACAAGGAAATTCGCACTGATTTTTTCCCCTTTGTTAGTAATTTTTGAGGTTAATATATATTACCCATAATACTTATTTTTGTCTCTTGAAAAAATATACATTTAGGTCCCACTTATTATTCACTAGAAAAACATAAAATTCATAATAAATTATAAATAAGTTATATTTCTACTGAACATAGACAGGTAAATTTAGACAGTAATACCTGAAACAACACCAATTCCATCATCACAGTCATAATCAGAGACTTCACTGTCGCTGATTCTTTTGGATCCTGGGGAAAAAAAAAGAAATGTATATTTGTCTTCCTGTAAGTTAAAACTATCCTTAGACAATAACACATAAATATGTACAGATTTCATCCTAGACAATGAATCATTAATATCAGCATATAAGGTTAATTATTCATGTTACATTATTGCAAATGTGTTAGTTTGTACCAACTATTTTCAGCTAAATCTTTAACACAATATAAAATGAAATGCTGAAATACATCTCCACAACACTGTTTTTAGGAAATATTTTCATGTACTTCATATCTATATGTATTAATTCCATATAGACACTGGATTCACACTGTTCATCTTTCAAGTTTTCATATAATGGCACCATCACTCCCTAGAGTCTTTGAATAACAGAAAAATTAATAATAGCAATAACATTAAACAGATGTAGGATTTTCTTTGAGGTCTTAGCAAGGATTATCAGGAGAACAGGCGGCTTCACACATATAGTGCACCATTAAAAACAAGCAAACTATTAGATGCTCTGTAAGAGTACCCCTGCCAAAATAACTAGAGCTTAGCTGGAGAAAGTAGGTTGCACAACCACAATTAGAGCCAAAATGTAGGATGAGTATATGCATCAGTTTGTGTTTACCTTAATTTTACTTCAGTCTTCAGTGGTATCTTTTAAACAGCATTGATTGCTGAGATTAGAATTAAGCACTGGCATGTGAATTCTAATTCTAATTATTCTAATTCTAATTATTCATTTGCTTGTTTTAAACATGAAAAACCCCTGTTCTTCACCAAGATGGTGCATCTATTCTAATTTTCTGGTCATCTAAAAATAGGTAACTCGAAGGTTAGACTAGAAGGTAGAAACTTTAATTATCATCACAATTTCAATCATGTGCAAGATTTTTTTTATTCCTGGCACAGCACAATTTATTCTGAAACACACACACATAAATACAAGTAAAAACTGGGAATAAACCTGAAGAAGCCCAGGACAAAGCAGTACTAATGCTCTGTCTGGGTAACTGGCAGAGAAGGATCTGTAGTCTCCTTTTCCCAATAAAAAACTGGAAGAGCAAGCGCTAAGAGGATTTTTGACAAAAATAAAAAGGTTTCAATTTAAGGAAATGTTAGAAATCATTTGAATTAGGAGAACTGCTGTTGTTTGTAAGACTGTCTAACATTTGTCTACCCACCAGGGGATAGTGGAAGGTCCTTCTTCAGCGGAAAGAATGTGCTTACAAGAACTGTACGAAAAAAGATTTCTGTGTTGCACCCTTCTAGCTTTTAGCAGGCAGGGATCCTGGTAACTGAGACTTCTCCTAAGCTTTTTACCATAAGTAAGTAATCTACTCATTCTCCACAAATTCATGTAATTTCTTTTTGAGTCACAGTATTTTCTTGGCCTCTGTAATATGCTATGTCAATAAATTCTGCAGTTCAATTATGCATTGTGTGAAATCAACTTTTCTGTATTTTATTTCTATTAGATTATTTCAGACAATGCCCTCTAAACCTTTGTATTCTGAAAACTTGAATCAGCATTCTGTATTTTCCTATAGTCATCTCTTTTTTTTTTTTTAGCTGAAATAACATTGTTTTGTTCCTTTGAATATGCAAACCATTCCATATTTCTGATTGTTCCTGCTGTATTTGTTTGTATGTTTTCTAGTTCCTCTGTGTCCCTTATGAGAAATAGGAAGTGATTTCAGCAATTAAGATGTGGGTGTATGAATTTATTAACTAGATTGCAGACTATTTCTTTGAGGGAAAATTTCTCCGTTTAAAAACTATTCAACTAAAAAATGGTATAAGTGTGATATGTGCTAATTCTTAGAGAACAATCTTGTCTGCCAGTACACTATGCAATTTCAGTAAAGAAATGTTAATTGTGGTTATTCAATTGTAGTAAAGGTTGGTGCTTTCCTCATAAATAGGAAATTAAAATAAGTACAGGTAAACTCATGCAATTCTCATATGGTAGAATTATTAGATCAATTTATTAAAAAATATTAGAAATAGCCATGCTACAATGGGTGGGGGACAGGTGTCTTTGAGTTAAGAAATAACAGGAAGTCTTTCTGTAAAAAATTAACAAGAAAATGATGACCATTAGCCCTCAAGAAAACCCAGAAGATGAGGGCAGGAGTGAAGGAAAAGATTTTGACCTCCTCTGATTATTTTCTTAATTATAGTATTACAGAGGCCCAATAAAAATCCTTCTTTCTTCCCAAAGAAAGCATCCATTCCACCTGTGATGCTGTTCCTGCTGCCATTTTCAGCAAAGCCTTCTACTTGTGTGCTGATATACAAGCCAGTGAGCAAGCAGGATTAGTCTCCATTTTCCTTTGCCACTGATTCAAAAGCAGGTCATTAAAGGACAATATTTGTGACCAAACACTAAGCAAAAGAGCCATACCAGCTGGCTGGGATTTGGCTGGGGTCTGAAAGGCTTCTGCCTTTGGGGGCAGAAGCCCCCAAAGTGAGTGCTAAGCAATGTGATTTTGTCCTCGGGAACCCCTGACCCTGCTCTGGCAGCGAGTCTGTGGCTGCTGTGCAGAGATACCAATAACAACACTCAGGTTCTGTTGGAGAGAAGACTGTGGAACCTGAAGCTGAGGGAAACTGAACAGTTTGCTGATGCTCATCACGTGGATGCTTGGAAAGGTTTGTATCGTGAAAGATGTAAAAAGGCTGAATCAACTGTGATTTCAATGGATATCATTTACTCAACATCTAATTCATTCTTATGAATGAATCTAATTAATTACAACTGAGGTTGCTTTTTATTTATGTTTATATTTACAGCTAAGCACATCTGCTTAAACATATTTTTAGAATATTCTGTATTCTGAAGGAAAAATTTGCATCTTTGAGGATGAAAATAGCAAGCTGTTGTCACAGTGGGCTATAGACTTCCCAGCTGTGTAGCTAAAATTATGTTGTTGTAGTCACAGGATACATCTGGCAGAAAAGAGAGATTAAGAAGCTTCAACAGACCACAGGCATAAGAAACAGGGCTTGCTTTCTCTCTCTCTCTCTCTCTCTCTCTCTCTCTCTCTCTCTCTCTGTCTCCCCAAGTGAGATCCATCTGCTCCAGAATCTCCTAATACTCAGCTCTAAATAATCGTCCAGGATCTAGAGATCCTTTTCTCTTTTTAAGTACAGACTTCTATCTTTATTCCCATCCAAGCTTCAGGAAGAAGGGAATGGGGCATGGGGCATGGGGAAAGTGAATGGCCCAGGACTGAGATGTGCCAAAGGATGGGAGTAGAGGAAGAATAAAAACAAGGGAAGAATCAAATTTCAGCACTTTCCCAAACTGTATTTTTTACTGCAAAGAGGAGAGTCTCTAGTAATAGCTGACATTGCTTAAATATGAAAACTTCATCTGTAAGATGACATATGAAGCTCGTTCACACCATCTCTTCTATCTCCCCAAGCTACTTTACCCAACTCTAACTACTAACAGATAAACCGACTGAAAAATGATAATCATGTTTAAGGAATATTTCCCATTTCTTTACAAATGTAAATTTAAATGATAGTAAAGAAGTCAGAAAAAATTCAAAGCAGAACTAATTACTTGGTTTTATCATTGGAAATCAATGTTTTCAGGAAGGACACAGGAAGGAAAGCATGTCAATTAAATATGTAATGTCAAGAACTACTGTCTGGAATATATAAGTTCTGCAAAGGAATCAAATTATATTTATTTAAAACATCTTCCATTAACTTCAGAAATGGAACAAACTAGAATGGGCAGAGGTCAGAATCTTTTATTGAACGTAGTATTTGAAATGTCAACATAATTGCTGGCAGCTTAGTTTAATATTTCTTATAATTTTTGCAAAAGTAATTTCATCTGCTGTATATTAATTTTAGAAGGTAATTTTCTTTTTAACATATTGACAATGTAAATTTGAAGATCTAGGCATCAGTCCCACCTTAGCCATGTCTTTTCAAAATACTACTTTATTATCTAAGTAATTTGAATCACTGATCACAAAAATGAGAAAGAGCAATTCATATTTTTTCTGGGAAATGTGACAATGAAGCATCTCACAAATTAATCCAAATTAATATAGAGAATGAAATTCTTATTTAGCATTTTAGTGTATATCTTAAACTGTTTGACATATATATTATAAAATAGGGTATTCAAATCCATTCTAACATAAATTCAAAGTTCAGTAAAAAGCTTAAGCATGTAACACTCAGGACACTAGATGCATCAAATAAATGCATGGGTGCCAATGGTTTGCATATAATTAACTTTTTCTTTGATGGATTTTAAACATGAGAAATGGCATTAAGTCTCACTGCCATTCTATTGGTATTTAGCTTATTAATGAAACTGTATTGGAGGTATTATTACCCTTTTGTCTGATAGCTGGGCGGTAACAGATGGTAAATACGGACTTCTGAACTCCTTCCACCAGGATTAACAGTTATTACAGTTACAGACTGAAGGCAAAATAGACCCCATGCTGTATGATTAGCTACTGTAACCCTCATAAAAATGTCTTAATTCAGCATAACCCCAGGCCCAGTGAAATCAAAAGATATATTCTTATTCACTTTAGGAGGTTTCGGTTTAATAACGTTCAACTATCAATAAAATTTTTCCAGGGGCAATGGAAAACCAACTCATCAGACCTTGACAACGCTCAGGATCCTCCTGCCCATCCACACCTACCTACTCCTTCCCTACGATGCTGCTCATGCCACCATCCCCACCAGCACAACTCTGCAAGAACATGAACACAGTAGGACTGGAAGCCTACAGCACTTTCACTGGAGCTTCCATTGCAGACCTGGGGAAAAACCCCACCACCTAAAACCCATTAGGACCATTATTTTCAGTTTCCATTTAGCAAGTACTTTCTGTTTAAGTTTTTACTATTTTACCATTTACATTTTTACTTTCTACTAGGCAGAAAAAGGATTTATAATACAGTAGTTTCTTAGTATAAAAACATTTCCATTTTTCATCTTCATGGCTAGCAATAATATAAAGAAAACAACGAGGTGTTTCTTTCAATTTTATGAATTAAATATTTTTTTTTTTGTGTTAACTTTTCATGGGCTGCAGTGTTGGTGGCCATGAAAGTTAATAGAAATTTAAACAATGCATTTAATGGCACGCTTTAACATATGGTCAGTACTGGAGTGGTCAGGTAGTTGAACTAGATGATCATTGTAGGCCCCTGCCAAAGGAAATATTCTATTCTATTTCCTCAGAATCACATTTATATCCATAACAACATTCTAAATAGTTGGAACTCTCCCAGATGAATGAAACAATATTCAAACAAATATTTTCTTGCAAAGCAACCAAAATGTGAAGGGTTTCAAAATACCCTCTGCCTTCTACATGACAACTAAAGTTGGCACAGAGTTTTGCTTCACTCTATTATTAATATACAGAGGTAATAATGCAAGATATAATACCTTCTGTACTTCATATATTGCCCATTGATATGTCTGTTACAGGCCTCAAGAGAAGACCAGTGCATAAGGTTCAAAACTCTGCTAAAACCATAGGACCAACCAATATAGAATGGACTAGGACAGAGGATAGAATGAGAAATAAAATTAAGGTGAGTCAGCTTAAATACAGAAGGAAGTGCCAGTTATTTATGGCTCAGGAATTCTCTATTTTTCCTTGTGGAGGAAAAGAAAATAAAACTAAAAGGAAGAAGACAGCAGACTGAGCTCCCAAGCTGGAGATCCGGTCCCTTACAATGCAGGAAGCTTTTTTTCAAGGTTGTGTAAACTCCTTGGGAGAACAAAGGGTAGTGAAGCATGCTTATAGTTCCTTCCCTGAAGCTCGCAGAAGGCCTTCACAACCACCTAAAGTCCCTTAGCATTGCCTGTAATTGTTCTGTGTACAAAGCTGACATATAAGCAATCCCAAAATCAGTCTCACAACTGTCTTAAGAATTTGCTCTCTGATATTCATCCAGCCTGTGCCCGAGGGTTCTTAGTGTGAGCTAATTTCTAATGCAGTCCTGCTGTCTCCACGTGAATATGTCACTTTATCCTCCTGCACATAATAGCGGGTTTTGGACTTTTTTATCAATTTCATCTACATTGACAGAGGAGTTTAAATACCAAATTCTATTAAGTTCCTACAGATCTTTGAAAATGATTGCTGGATAGAAGAGAGAGATACAAATCAGAACTCCTTAATTAAAAAGAAACATTATCAAGCTAAAATTTGTTTCTAATCCAAAGTACACAGATGTGTACTTTGCACAAGTACAAAGCACAAGTACACAGATGCCACAGCAAACTTGGTCTCTTCCCATGTGAAGATACTGTAAAAAAATGAGGAGAATGTGGGATAATTTCAGGAGAGAATGGAATGGAAGAAATACGGGAGATTGACGTTAGATGTAATGGAAACCAGATTTTATTAGTACTGTTCTCAAGAAAGCATTACTCTGTGGGGGTTTTGTTTCTTTCCACCATATTATGAATCTATTTTCATAACAATGTGTGTTTCATTTTTTAAACGTAACTAAAAGATAATTACTTAAACCAATTCTCAAAGAGATTCTAATAATTAAAACTTCAGGATCTGCAAAAAGTCCCACATGAAAAGCACTACAAAATTTAAGTTTGTGAAAACTGCACATTATTAATTATATTTAATTAAGGCAAACTTCTCAGCTGGATTTGTAATGGGGAATTTAAAACACTATGAAAGTGTAGAAATTTGTATCAGTGTAAAGACTTATTTTGCCAGTTCTTAACTTACCTCATGTCTGCAATCTAAAAATACTTACACTAGTTCTCAAGCAGCTGTAATATAACAGTGTTCCTTTAAAAATAGCTTAAGCAAACTAGCAAAATTCCTAGTATAGTTAATAAAGCTCACTACAGTTTTCCTACCATAGCTGTACCTAAAATAAAGGCAAGCAAAGCAAGTATGGTGTTACAATACTGCTCCAGTATCAATACTGAGATGTTAAGAATAGAGAAAGAAAGCCAACAAAAGACCTATTACTGAAAAGCAGACAAGAAAAGCCAAGGAACTTTTAAGCAATTTAGCATGTGCACAAAAGGTAGCAAAAGCACACCAACAAAATATCAAATTATAATTTGCACGCATATGGAAGCAATAAGCATTTCTGGCATGCTTAAAATTTACCTGAATTATATGAATATAAGCCTTTATCTGGAAAACAAATATTGAAATGAAGTAGTGTCAGGAAAAAATACATGAATCAATACATGTAACAGGGATGATTAGAACCTTAAACTTCATTATAATTGCTGCCAGATGCTGAAAATTTTGATATTTAGGCCACATTCCTTCAAAATAATAAAACTCAAGCATACAAGAGAAATTAAACTACAAAAATGTCAATCACTTCTGGATCACCGACTGTACTCAGCAGTCACAGAGGACTAGCAGAGCTATTTCAGTAAGTTCCAATTCTGAAATACAACTGCACATTTTTACTCTAAGCATTTAACTTTTTAAGGGCAAAATGTATATTCACCTAGGCATACAGTATGAACTGCTACCCTTAAAGTTATTGCACAGTTCTGTTGTCACCACAGCATTAGTAAAACTTTCCCAAGACGTAGTTAGGAATCCTACTTTAAATTTAGCAGACTCAGAAGTGCTGTTCAAGTCAATCTGTTCTCTCCAGTTAGGTCTTGATTTGGTAAATATGTACATACATAAAAACCTTATCTGCATACCATTGTTACCATTGAATTTAAGAGTCCTGATGTGTTCTCAATGATCAAATACTTGCACCATCTGATTTATTGTTTGCGTTTCTTAAGTCTGACTGTTTTTGTATTTTAGTTTTCCATACAATCATACCAGTTTTTCTAAACTGGACAGAATAATAGTATTTGAATATCTGAACAATTATGGAAATGTGAATTGCTACTTTGCATTTGCAGATTTTGTAAATATGACTTTCATCAGGTAATATGAAGAAGCTGGGAAGTCAGAATAACATTAATAGTATCTTGTCATTAGCAAGACATTATGAATATTTTTATTCCTTGTAGTTGAACAGCTCAAAGACATCATCTTAAATAGAAAAGAGTGACAGTCTGTGAGTAAATAATGCACCTCAGATGATAAGACATGACAGTGTTCGGGGAAAAATGAAAATTTCAATTTCTTGCCAGCTGGTGCTGTTAAAGGATTCACTGGATGACTAAGTACCTTCTGGCAAGTCACACTTTTTCTGACATCTAGGTACTAACTATTTTAATATGTGGATCACATCATTAAATCATCTACTACTTACAATTTCTAACTCTTGTATTAACAGATTTTTTCTTGATAAATGTAATAAATTTTTATGTCCCAGATCCAGTATTCCATTCAGCAATATAATCTCGAAGTGAATGATAGGAGGTTTTTTCAGCATCATTTACATTTTAGATGTGATCTTTATCTTGTAACTTCTCTTAATATTCGTATCCCTTGGTACTATTCTCTGCCAGTTATGAATTTAATTAAAAACTGACTCTTATTTGGTTACAAAATGATGAAAAATGGAGTTAGGGAATTTTCCTAGTTTATCCCAACAACATCAGAAAGTCACCAAAGGTTCAAGTGTGCCACACTCGCCCCTAAAAAAATCAATTAACACAGTCTAGAAATTATTTACAGAGTTAAAAATTATGGACTTTCTCAATTTAACTGCTTGAAAGTTCTGTAAAAGGTAGAGCTTCTGGAAGAGCACAAAAATACTGAGGTTTTAATGGGATTGAAGACCAAGGAAGCCATGTTTGTTTCTATATGGTTACAGTACAGAAAGAAAAAAGTAGGAATAGCATCAAAACCATTTGAAAACTTCATTAAAACTATCACATTTTATATGATAGCTTATAATACTTTCATAATAAAAAAATATACAAATTACCTTTAGCCTAAAAAAGGAAACTAGGTCATTAACTTGTTATTTATTAATTGCTTAGCAAGGTTACTTTACTCTGTGCACTGAGTTCTTTGTTGAAAGAACATTGTTTTCTGTCATCATTACATGACAGAAGAGTAGTATAATAACATGATTCTATCAAGTAATCAGAGCAATATTGTAATAATCAAATTCCCTTAAACTTCTTCAAAATAGGTTTTTAAGTATTTTTGCAGTTTAATTACAATTTAATAAATTAACACCTTGAGTTTCTTTTATTAGAGAAAGAAAAATTTTTTATTGTTTAAGGCCTTTTTAGACACCCCTGTATCATGTTAAATACCTTTTAATTAAAGTATTTAATAAACCATAGAGGTACAATAAATAAATAAATAAATGCAATACTGGTATATATATCCATATTCTGTTAACAAAAAAGATCAATGCATGCAAACAAAGACAACATGCCCAAGGCCTGTGCTCTATAAAAGAAAAAGAAATTTTAAAGAAGAAGCATGAAAGAGAAAAATAAGTGTTATTCTTGCTCTCTAGGGTAAAAGTTAATCATTCATAGTCTGTGCCACCGACCATAAAATGCTCCATATAATAATTTGAAAAAAGTCACTGATGCATGTTTCCATTAAGTACAATTCACTTACCTACTAGTAAATAGCATAATTATAATTTCCTCAAGTAATGTTCAGTGACATTGAAAATTATCACACTGACTTACCAAATTCACAACAACCTAAAAGGAAATTGCTGAGACAGCAAAATCACAATTCTACAGTAAAATGAGACTCCACAGACCTCCAAGGAAGTAAACAGCTTTCATTGAAGAAGATTGGGCATCATTTCACAGGGGCTCAGGTTTCACAGGATAATGTTTCAGATATATTTGGAATTAATTATTGTTAAACTTCCATGATTTTGGTACTACTAAGTGTACATCTTGATGTTCTATAATATAGACTTGGCAATTTTACCATTTAAATAATGGAAGAGAGGGCTTGAATTAAGTTATAATACTCAACTCCTCTTTGGTTTGGTGGTACAGCCACAGAACATTAAAAAAACCCCTCAGCATTAGCAATGACAGGTCAATCTAAAAATGTTTTTCAAAAATTAATAAGCTATGAGGTTCTTTATTTGTGAATTCAGTCTATCAGTTTGCTTTTATTCTAGTTAGATGTAATATTTTTTATCATGTTAAAGTCTCAACATTGCCCCAGAAACTGCAATCTGACTGGGGAGAATGTACAAAGCTGAAAGAAGATGACAAAATTTTCCATGTGATTCAAAACACTTTGTTTCTGCATTATAGATTTCTTTTTATTCCCATCTGAAAAAATAAATAAAATTTGGAAAATAAATGTTGTATATAGTTCTTTTGCACACCGTATGCAGGTTTTTTGTAGAACATAATATACTTAATTTTTTTTCCCCAGAGATAATATACTTGTTACTGTAATTTCTCTTCCTCCAGATTATTTTATGTGCCTGAAGAATCATGAAACTCAGTGAATGGAGTCATTGATGAATTTCATTCTAAAAGTAATGGAAGTCAAATTCCCTTTAAAATAAAGCTACTCTGCAATCTGTTTATTTACATAATTTTAATTCTGATTGATTTGGCTGGTTTTCAGTTCTTGAAATTTGATCCACCATTTTGGACTTCTATATGTTGATTTCCAAATATATAATTTCTAAAATTTCTTAGATCTTGTTTTCAGCAGTTTATCTCCCATAGTTTTATTACTTTTCCCTTACTGAGGACGCTCAAAATATAAAACTTCACTTTTCTTTTTCAAACCATACTGTGCCTTCTCACTGTAATTAAAAGCTCTCCTTCAACTGCTGCACATACCTATGCTGCAACAAGAGATCTGAAAATGTCTGGATTTACTGCTATATGCACATTTCTTCTCCTGGTGCATTTAGCTGTTACCCACACTGCACACCCACTTGCTGTGGTCTGCAGATCAATAATTCAAACAGCTTGGTTTTAAAGCTGCAAAATCCAACTTAGAAAACTAGCAGAAGTTACTTTTCAAACCTAAGTAATTAGGAAATTCTTAAAGCACTGGAGTAAAAGGAAATCTGCTTCCAAAACTAATTCAGAGTCAATGTAAAACTAAAAACTGTTCTTGAAAATACACAATAACTGTATTCAACAATAACTCGATACCAGCTCATAGTGCACAAATGCTCATATTACGTGGACATAGCTGTAAAAGACTGAATAAAAATGTCTCAGATACAATTTGATGTATATCTTTATATACTGGGCTACTTTGAGAGGAAGCAATTTTTGATTTGCAAACTCATGGTATAATCCCTGTTTGATTTCTGTATCAGTTCTCAATAAATAGAAATAGTAAAAATAACTTCCATCCCAGTGTTCCAACGACTATGAACACAACTTCGAAACCACATTCAGTTTTCCACGTAGTCTGTATTAAGATTCTTACCTAATGTAAGATGGAAAAGTAATCTACTAACAATGGGAATTCCTAAATATTCTTTAAAGTTATTTTTTATTTGCTGTTTACAATCTTTTTTCAGAAGCAATATAAAAAGCACTTCGCTTTGTTTGTAACTCTAGTTAATGTTGTCCAGAATTCTTAATGTATATCTGATTTTATACTAAGTGTTAGAGAAAATGAAGTAATTTTAAAAATTCAGTTCAAAAGTCCAACACATTTCACATAAGAAAAAGCTTAAAATATACTCATTGGATAAACATCGTCAGTTTATGAAAATCTGAAATATAATTAGCTGAAAGACCTAGTAAATCATAATCCTATGTTCTATATTAGTTCCAGTTTCTAAGTAGATGTCTCGAAAAACACAAAGGAAAAAGTATGGTAATGATCCTTCATCGCCAGGAAGTTAATGGACCGTATGGATCAGAGGACTGAGCAAGAGAAGGTGGACGGCTGACTATCAGTCTGTACAACACACCGCCCACTCAAAGATATTGAGAGATAAATATATGTAGAAACTAAGCTACTGTCTCTGGAAGCTAGTTCCAAAAAAAATGGCATATGGGGCTGTGTGGGAAGCTTGCACTTTGCTACTGGCAATCTGTAAATAGGACTTCACTCTTCAGGGCTGACAGTCTGCTCTTCTTCAGAAACACTACAATTTAGTGATATTAAAAAGAGAATAGAAGTAAGCAGTAAGTGTACGTGGTTCTTTTAAACTACCTTTAGAGAATAACATTTAAGTATTGTCTTCAAACATATGTGTTTATCGCTACTTGGCAATCATGAAGAAAGCTTAGATGTGTAGATGTGCATTTATACTAACAACAAACAACCTTGTAATTCAAAATATCTCTTGTCATTTCTCACACTAACAATTTTGGGGGGCATTCAATAAAGTACTTCATATTGTACTCACTAATTCTACGTATAGAGGCATCACAGAAATGAACAAAAGGTAGGAGGACTGAACTGCTCAGATTTTGTGGCTCCAGAAATTGAAATCAGTCTACTGTATTAACAGCCCAGTATGTTTTCTAAGATGTGCATTGAAAAACATAAACAAACATGCTAGACAAGCCTTGTTTTCATTCTGGAAATTTTTTTCGCATTGTCATAATGTACCACTGGATAACATTTTCTGTTTCATCATGTACAAGAGTGTTATTTAAAGATACAAAAACATCTACAGACATGAGGAACTAATATATTGTTTAACTTAATACTCTTTTGAACCCCCCCCCCCCAAAAAAAGTAAAAAAACCAGACTGCTACGTGTTATTAATATAGTATAAATATTTTACATAGTGAAGGCAAACAGTCATAAGATATGCTGTCTGCCCTTCACCAGTGCCCTGGTGATGACATTTAGATTGGGAAGAGCCTTTTGGAGGCCATCTGGTGCAATGCCTGTTTCAGGCTCGGCTAACTTACATTGAATTGCTTAGAACCTTGTCTAATTGAGCACTGGATCTCTCCAGTAGGATGTTCCACCATCTCTTTGAACACCAAGAAGTAATTTTATTTCCATTTCAGAGGTGTGATAGCAATTGTGGTAGGGGGAAACAGTTATAAAATGGTAAAGCCCCAGGGGGTGGTGACCCTGGAAGTTTGGAAATTTTATCCAATGAGCGCTTCTGCGAAATATAAACATACCACAAGCAAACAGAAGAGAAGGTTAGTTGTAGTTTGGTGGTAGGAGAACCAGCCATATTGTAGGAGCCACGAGGAGAGACAGCAGCAGCCCCACTGGGGGCTGGGCCCCCCCCAGCCCCCAGCGGGGGGTTGCGGGGACCTGGAACAGCATAAAGCTGGGCTAGGTGCCTGCAGCTGAGAGCTAAGAAAGTTTTCTCCACCGTGAGTGAGCAGAGACAGAGCAGAAGCAGAGAAGCAGCATCCAGAGACTGTGGCTAAGAGCAGGACAGATAAGAACTGAACCAAACAGCAAACGGCATGCAGCAAGAGAGAGAACTCCTGGAAGGAGAGCCGAGAAAGAGAGACAGCAGCAGAGAGACAGAGTTGGGGTAAGAACTGGAATAAAACCTCATACCCCTCTGAGACCTCCGAGAAAGGATGGACTCCTATTAAGGAGAGGAGCCTTGGAGTGCTGTAGCACCAGAGAGAGAGGAGCTGAGAAGCTCAAAGACATCCTGAAGCTGGACCGGGACGGAGAAGGAATGTGGGGGGTTGACCTTGGCCCCCCCTCGCTGCTGCTGACAAGCCTGGCAACCTGAGACAGAGCACAGGAGCTCTGGTAGAACTCTTGAGGCAAAGCCTTTCAACTGAATGCTGCCCAAGATGTTCTGACTCAGGGGTGGACTCCCCTGAGGAAGGGACTTTCACGAAGATGCCCCTGCATTTCGTGATAGGCCTGTGGTGAAGCGAGTTTTGTCCCTGCTGGCAGTCCACAGGTGAGGCCTTCGCTTGGAGTCGAAGGAGAGTCAAGAGGGGTGAAAGGAGACCCCCTTGTGTCTTGAAAGACCCTTGTTTGGAGACGACGGGCCAAGGGGCTTGGAGACCCCCTTGTGTGTATTGAGAAGAGATCCAGCTACAACAATCCAGTTACGGCTGCTGCATAGAGACAGAGAGACCTGCTGCCTTAGAGACATTGCTGCTCTGAAGAAGGGATCTGTCCTTCTTCCCTCCTGGACTTTTATTTGGAGGGGAGAAGAGATCTGATCCATTGTAAATACTTATGTCATGGTAGAGATAGTTGTGATCGTGTGTATAATGTATTATAATATTTATTTGTACAGTCATTGTAATATATTCCCTTTTCCCCATTCTGAGTCTCGTGTTTTGTCTGGAAAAAACAGATCTTATACTAGGTTGAGATGGGGGAGGGGGCTTTGACTAGAGAATTAGATTTTTTGAGGCTCTCAAACCATGACAGCAATAAAAAAAAGTAAAATAAAATTGTATTTTTAATTGCTAAATGGATTCTGCTGCCATTGCAGAACTCAGACCAGATGCTAAATTTCCTATTGTGTGTCTTTCCAGTCCCCAGAAGGAAGAAATTTTAATTCCAGAAGACCATGTTCTGTACATTTAAAACTATCTGTTTAAACTGAAAATTATTTATGACACACAAGGATTTAAGACATGAATATATTCCCAGACCACTAGAGAAAATCCTTTATCGGATCTCAATCTCAGCACAAATGGACATAGAATAATTTAGTGTGGGAGAATGTGAATTCCCCAGCAATCCCAGTGAACATCTGAAATTGCTTATTCGGCTGAAGTTTTTAGAGCCCCAGGTTGTCGAACTAGTGCCCTGGAAACAGTCAGGTTAAATCATCTTCATGGAAAAGCAAGACATCTATACCAAACCTTAGTGTTTCACCAAACCAGAAGTTTTGTTAATTCCTTTCATCTACATTTCCAGACAGGCATATAAGATTGTTCAGTTGAGTACATTATTATTATTAATATTTATTAGCATTAGTATATATTAGTATTACTTTTAAAAAAAACTGACTGACTTTCAAATTTTGAATCAATATCATTGAACAGATCTTTAGTCAAGCAGTACTAAAATATGCTCAAAAATAAAGCAGTTACTGTTTTATTCATTCTTGATGGCAGTTATTTATTGCACACATGAAGCGTGATAGACAAACAGGGTTTGTTTGAAGGGCTGAATATTTCATGAAAACCAGAATTTCACTAACTTCACATACAAACAGAAATGTCCAGTTGGTCTGTAAAAGTCATTTTACATGGAAAATTTAACTTCCTAAAATGTCTTAAAAGATGGCAGAAACCATGAAAAAAAATTTAAAAACTTTGCTGAAACAGTCATGGTGTACAAGAAGACTGAAGAGAACTGAATTGCAATAGACCTCCTTACCTTTTAACTATCACTTCTTTCCTCCTTTTGTGGACAAGTATAATCTTACAACTTCAAGGTTACGCAATGTAAGTCTCTGATAATGTGTCTATCTCAGAATATTACGATATGGAGCATTTTAATCCTTCTCACCATCCAGCACACAGAAGTAAAACAGATCAACTGTTTGAAAAACTTATATAAAATGCATTATTTAATGAAGACCCCACATGGAACATACGAAATATCCAACCTTGTTTAAGTGACTGCACAGGCATGTGCTTCTGTGAGTTTGTGTGAAACCTGCACACAAACTCACATACTCAAAGAAACCCCAAATAATTCTTAGGAACTGTTTTTGGTTAGTTGAGGTTCTTCTACGGTTGGGGTTTTTTTTTAAGGGAGTTGAGTTTTGTGTTGGTGTTTTGGGGATTGTTTTGGGTGGTGGTAGTGGGTTTTTTTGTTCTGGTTTGCTGTTTTGGGGGTCTTTTTTTGGTTGGTTGGTTGATTTGGCTTCTTGGGTATTTTTATATAACTGCTAACTGGTGTTTTATAAAGTCAATTCAGTGAAGAACAGTTTTAAATCACTGACAGTACTGAACAGTCAAACTAGAGAAACAATTAAATATTAAAGAAACAGATTTTTACCATTAACTGTCTTATTCTTATGTATCTATTTTAAATAGCATATTGTATATACTCTATTTTCAAAATATCTACTGATACCTTCAAATTACTCTGGATTGAGTATAACAAAATCTACAAAATAGAATTTTAAAAGAAATTCTATTTGTGAACGTAAAATAGCTTCAAAGCAATGCATGATATTAATTTAGCTACATATGATGCTATATACAGGTCACTTTAAGAAGTATGAGGTAAAGAGAGAGGTCCTGAACATTCACTTTAGGTTAAACAGTGAAATGATGAACATAATATAGAAGATAGGACTTCATGATAAAAAGAGCACATTGCAAAAGACCAAGATAATTTACTCAAGCTGAGGATCTGAACTGAGTTGTCTCATAAGAAAAAACTGGTGTATTGCACAGTGGTCAATATTACCATTTGTAGCATGTCACACTCTCATTAGTAATCATATATCACCTAATTCATAATAGTTATAAATTAACATGAAAATTCTGTCACTTCTCCATCTGCAAGAATTTAATATACTTCATTACACATTGATTCAAATTAACTATACACAGTGTAAAACTAACAACCTACTTTGTAACCTCCGAGTGGGGCTCTCGCCATGGAGTTGTCTGCGTGGCAAATATGGAGAGGGATGGGGAAGTGGCAATGAAGAGACATCGTGTGTTTGAAGTTTGTACCAGTGAGGTTCATCATCTAGTAATGCTGTTTCTAACTCAATAAGAATCTAAAAAAGAAAGAATGGAAAAAATGAAGGAAAGCATTACATGATGGAATATTTTAAAGTAGGTATATTCCTAAATGTTATTCTATTATTCTCTTACTGTTAAGGAGTTTGTCTGAAGTTATGTAAAAGTCTTGCATTTAATATGAAAGAAGCTCCTGTGCCTTTTACAACACCAAATACAACAAAAACCTTTCACAAAACCTTTGTTACCTTATGACAGCCTTTACAGCATTTAGATATCTTGTAGCAAGTTAGTGAGAGACATACCAAAATTTTGGTAAAATACAACTATGGCTAATATAGATTTTAATGAACAACTAGAACTGAGAAACCATGTTCATGCTGTCACTAAAACAGAACAAACACAAAAAGAATCTCATATCAGTAGTATGTGATAAGTGCAAGATCACTATTTGTTTACTACTAAGTGAAAGAAAGAAAAATATAACAATAAAACAATTTTGCTTTGCATAGTCAGTAACTTTTTCAAAAATACTGTATCTATACATGAGTATGTGAGCAACTGTATTTCCATAGTAAATACCAATACTTGTATACCTCTCCTAAAAATTCACTTTCTTCCTCTCGAACTCGTGCTTGGTCCCAAAGAGTGATTTCTAACATTCGTTCTCTAAACTCTCTCCGATGAACTGGAGAATAAATAAATGTCTGATTCCACTTTGGTTCCAATGTTTTCTTCACTGTTTTTGTTCTTCTTTTATTTTTATCACTGAAAAAAACAGTTAAATATTAAATATGTTCAAAATGCCATTATACTGTAATAAGTATATCATGGAAAATAGGAAATCTTAAATCAGCAGTTCAGTTTGCAGGATCATGGGTACTACAATCTACATTAGGAATTTTCCTTTATTGTAAAGTTCAGCGCGTATATTGAGGATAATTCATAATTTCCTATTAAAAACTAAGATTAGGTGATTTCGAGTTCATGTGCCAATTCAAATTTTAAGAAGTTCGCTGAAAACCAGAAATGTTTTAATATTTTTGTTGGGTTTTGGTGGCTTTTTTCAAAACAGTATTCTATAAAGCAAAATGTACTTCTGTAAATGGGATTTTCACAAGGCACAGTCTGATAGCAGAACATATATGCTGACAACATCAGGTACAGCAAAAATCTGCATTTCAGAAAAATGAGGCAGCTGGTTCACTCAAGCTTCCAGTCCTACAGCAGCTGACTCCAACTGCAGAGCAGGAAGGAGCAGCTGGCCCACACGAAGGAATGGTCAGGGAGCTTGCGGCAGTGCATGGCCTTCTCTGCAGGGTTTCCTGACTAAAGACCCCAGCTCCACAGCTGGGAAACCAGAAGCCCTGAAAACGAGTTACATATTCTTTTACAGCAACACTAGAAGGAACAGTGTTCGCAAAACAGCTCCCAAAATCTTTTGATGACTGCAAGGAACCACCCACACTGAAGGTGGACCTCCGCTACAAGGTGAGGTCTCCATGCAGGCCACCACGGCAGTCCTGGCTCTGGTCCAGGGTGTTGTTGAAAGCAGTCTTTTGCAGAATATTTCTACTTGAAATAATTAATATTTTCTGATGGAAACAAATTTTGCTGGAAAACACCCATATTCCTTCTACTGAGAATACTGACAAAAGTTCTCATAACAATGCCTAATTTTAAACCTGCTGATTGCTGCATAATGCAGCTGCCATACTAATTTATGAGGATTTTTTAATAAGTAATGCAGACACAGTCTGTTTTTTAATACTTGCAACTTTCATATAATCATTGTAATTTTGAACTGTTACTTAGAATCTGGATCAAAATATTAACTGAGAAATAATATTTTTAGACACACTGTTAAAAAAAATTATTAAAATTATTTCTATTATACTTAAGATTTGTTTACCCTTGCTTTAGGGGAAGTTTCCAAGGTGCACATGGGCAATCTCAATTGAGTCCCCTTCAGTCCTATCACTTATCACTTATACTGTGATAAGAAACCTGTGGGTTTCAGACGCCAAATCTGTTTCTGCTTTGTTGTATAAAGGTGAGACAAACCAAACTGCCGGACCCATCAGTCCAGAAATCTGTGAACTTTGCATTTTCTTTGCACTAAACAGAAATAGCACTCATAGGAAATAAGGGCATTATAAAACACTAACAACATTCTCTGCAAATAACAGATCCTCATTCAAAGACATACGTTTACCTTTCCTCTTCTACTCAGTATTTTACAATATAGCCAGGGAAAGCAAGTTTGTGCATAGTGTTCAAAGATAGCTTGCTGTAACATAGCATGTTCAACACAGGAACTCCAAACTGTACGTTTTTCCCATGTATGGCCAATAAACTCAGCTGTGCATGCCACCTGAGTATCAGACTAACTCATTCAAATGTTCCTTGTCTTTGTTTTCACCCTACCTTCTGTCTGGAAGAAAGTAAATTTTAACATAAGGATTCCTTGGCCTCCCATCTTCCCTTGAAGGAAGATCCTTTGCTCCCAGTATTGTCACTATTAGCTGATGACCAACCTTGTCATACCACAGTTTTATCTGTAAGGAGAAAATATTAATTAGTGAACTCATTTCTACAGTGAAGTAGTATATTAGTCCTTATAAATAAATTTGCTCCTAAGCTTCTATTTATGTTGGTTACTTTAACAGAAAAATATTATGTTCTACTTTGTATTCATAACAAAGAGTAAAAATAAGCTAATACTGTAAGAGCTTCAGTATGTACCTGGAGCTACTCTTTTTTTTAAAACCCTGTACAATAAGTGCATTATTTCACACTAATTGTTTTTCACATGGTGCTCTGGTTAGGATTATTCTCTCTTGTACTGTATTACTCGCGTTACTAATGTATAATATGCATATATATATATTTCTGAGGAGTTTATGCACAATGAATGAATTAATTTTTCACATATTGTTGTGCTAAAAAGACTATGGGATACGACCATAAATATTTCATATCACGAAATGCTTTTCAAGATGTATAGATTTATGCTGACATCATATAAGCCCTCCAGAAATCGTAAGAGAGGGAGTCCAACCCTCTTAATAGTCCAACTAAGCAACATGGTAAAAACTACTATTAATCATCTGTAGAAATTATTATTAACCAGTCTTAGGCTTGATCTGCTATTCTTTTTCACTACAGTCATTAGAAGCTGCTATTTATCTATCTTAGTTTGAATTCTATGGCTGCAAATACATCTGTCAAGGAAAGAATATACGTACTTTAGAGCAGTCACTGCAGAAGGGGGAAATGGTGCAGTTAGAACAAAAGAAAGCCTTCCAAATAGCCAGGAAGCCATGACATAGTGGTAGCACTGCAGTCATTAACTACACCTTACAGAGGAGGCTCTCTTCATGCGGACTTTGCCTGAGACAGGGGATAAACTAGGACGTTTAAGGAAAACACAGACCCTGCCTGAACTTAAGGGAATCAAAGAAGATAATGCCCAACTGCACACCTAACCAAGCAATACACCTTCAGGGAAAGAATATACCCTAGCTAAGATAGACATAACCAGGGGAAGGTGCACTCAGAGACAGGAATTCCATCTGCTGTCATAGCTCCTCATCTTCAGCATTTCAGTCTCTTAAAGAAAGGTCTTGATATAATTCTCAAGACTTCTAACCCACAAAGAAGGGGCTGATTTAGCTTTCTGCCATTCCTAATACTTCACTAAGTGAGATTACGTTAATACACGCCAACTCAATCATTGGTAGGAGTGTACGTCTTCCCTCCCCACTCCTTCAGATCTTGTAATTCCTGTAGTCATCAACCAAAAGTGTTTGTATGGATATTAAAAAAGAGGGGGACACCTGTCATCTATTATCATGTCATTGGCCCTACTATAGATTTTATAGGTTTCTGGTACCAACAGTTAAAGTGCTCTGTGGATACTAGAGCAAAAAGCCTTGTGAGAAATTATCCTTAACATGTCAGATTTAAGAGACTTTTAAACACTGTTCCTACATTCTTGCAAAGCAAGGGGCTTTGACAGTATTTTTTCTAAACTGTGAATTATCTGGACATCTAGGTGTCTCCAACCAACTATAGATCAAAAGCAGAAAGCTTTGTACACACAGTATAAATCCAAAGCAAAGCTTTAATGACCTCTGAAGTGCAAGTCAACTTAAATGTTCTCTGACACTAAATGTATCCACCCGCAGGCTTTCTTGGGAGTCCTCAGGCAAAAGACAGACTTGGCTAGTCCCACATCCCAAGGGGAACAGCAGTGAAGATAATCTTCATTTGCTTTTTTGGGAAAAATTATGCTTGCTTAAGTAGAATGCAATATATTTGTGATACAGAGACTATCACAAACTGTGACTGAGGGATGTGAAATAATCTAGACATAGGTGCCAAAAATACAACCAGAATTGTGTGTTCATATTCAAGCTAAATATTTCTTCACTATATTTGTTTCTGACTGAATTTTTGCATGAAAACTTCAGTCAAAATATTTAGAGAATTACTCTAAGCAGAAACTGAAATCAACTCACACCATTTTTCTGAGATGCTCTCAAAATTGTATTTTGGAACAAGAGCTCAAAATTTGCATTGACTTATACCTTCTACTTTTCGCTTCATGTTCAGAAGAAAAAAATGGGAAACACTTGTACATAATGGACAAATTTTCCCTGAATTTCCCTTTAATTTGGCTTGTTACAGGAAAGGTCAGGAGTCAGAATTTTGACCAGAGGCTTTCTCTCCTCTATTCACACTTCTAGACTCCAATACACATTACAGGCACTTGTACTCAAACGGTCATTTGACTAGGGTGCAAGGAGAAGAAAGGAAGATACTGCAAGAGAATGGTCAAAGAACCGCATAGAGGGGAGGATGAGATTGCATTCTCACAGGGTTAGAAGAAGGGACAAATCAAAAACTGCTTTATAATTACTGAGAAAGTAAAATATACAGAATACTTCTTGGTGAAACACAGGAAGAATGGAGCCACTAATGTCAGGGACCAGAGAAGAACAGAGGGGCAAAAATAGACTGAAAGAGAGAAATGGCATGAGGTGACAAAAGAACCAGCCATGCTGTAACTGGCACAAAATATGTTGAAAGAGAGACTGGGATGAAGGAAAATCTGACAAGAAGTCAAGGCAGGAAATTGGAAAGGAAAATGAGAAGTAAGGAGTTAGATTAGCATACTGAATATGATAGATGAGTTTAAGAATATGACTGATCTAATTCTGACTCTCCTGTGCAAAAACATTATGACAGTATTTGGATGGTATGGTATTATCCTACAAGAACTTCTTCTTTCTACTCATAGAGAAAGGACAGTCATTTATGACAGCCATGTGCAGTCCAAGAGGACTGGATTCCATCCCTTCCACTTTCCCAGAACTCTTGTGTATCAAAGGGTGCATCCCTTTAAGATATTTTGAAAAGCATTTAAAATTGCATGTTCTTTGGTGTCTAGAAGCCTGGTATGAAATCCTGGACCCTGATTTGTGTGCTAAGTAAAGCATTGGAATTGAAGTTTGAGGTGCTTCTAATGTTTGGACAGAACCTGGTTGTTTCAGACTCTGATCGTATTTTCTCAATTCCTAATCTATAAATACAGGACAATCCTAACACATCTCACAGTACACTATAAATGTTTCACGTTGTGAAATAAACACAGGATAGCACACATATAACAGAAAAGTTGATGAAGAATATTTTTGTTTGTTTGTTTTATAGCTTTGTTAAGTTGTAGAAAAAATGCCTGACACCAAAAAGTAAAGAACACAGAGTAAAAGTCCCACAAAAATGTACAGGTGTGATGGTCAGCAGTGAAAGACTTAAGTAGCTGACCAACAGCACAGAATCTACATAACCTCAATTCAGCAATTTTTTACATACATACTTTTAGAAGCTTAGAAGATCTAAGAAACTGAAGCAAAGCAATCTTATCTAAACTAAGGAAAGGGAAAGCTAAATTTACAATACATAAAATGTGCCACAGAAAAAATTGTGCTGGCTAATGCTAATCTGGAGGCTAACACCTGTAAAAATTCTTCTTGAATAGGACATCGTCTATCTAGATTATTTAGGATGTAGGCAGCTAAAATTCACTTCGAAAGTGATCCAACCTGAATGCTTTCTGAAGATCTTCCCACTTAGCAGTGAGAAACTTATTTGCTACTCACATGCTCATATACTTTCCTCCCCTAGGCTCCTTTGCCAGCCAGACATGCACTTAATGCTTCACTAAAGCTTCTGCTGTAACCTACATTCAGACAAACAGGCATCTAAATTCAACGCATGCTGAAATTGTGAGATGGTCTGTTATTCACAGAGCAGTGCATCTGCTGCACTCCTTGAGACAGGCTTCCAGGTAATAACTGCCACACAGAAGGCAGGAAATAACTTTTCCAGTCAGATGATTGGGGGAAATGGAGCTGAGGGTCTGGTCTCAGCTTTATATGATTCTTTCTATTTTTTAACTCATAGTGGTCTAATACAAGAGCAATACTCATTATGGGTAGCAGATCTGGAACCCGCTATGCTAAAATTAAGCTTGTTTTGATAACACCACAAACTTATATTCCTAACCAAACAGTATCTCAGCTTCAGATGAGACTTCACACTCCAGAGAAGAAAGGGATGTGGAATAGCTTGATGATAAAGGTACTCTTCTGAGAGACAGGTTCAATCTCTCCAGTCTAAACAGTATTTAAACAGCAGATGTCGTGTCTCTGGAATGAGCTTACTACACATGCAACAGTATACAAAAGCTGACTGCTGGCATTGCATTCTGAGAAGTGAGGATGCAGTTATCTAGTATATATAGTATTCCTTTTTCACAGAATCACAGAATAGGAAAGGTTGGTCCTCTGTAGCCTCAGAAAATGCCTCCTGGAGAATCAACTCACCCTCTGGAGTAGCCTAACTTTCAAATAGCATTAATGGGGTTAGTTGCCTTTTATTTGGGTTGATCACTCATGCACGATTGAGGTACTTAGTTCCTCTCTTTAACTGTACGAGTCAAAGATCCTCCTTAAGGCACCTCAGACTTATTTGAAGCTAGTATAAGCTACATAAATTAAGGACATAAATTCAGTTTGTTAGACAGTCTGCCCTGCAGCTTAATTTTTACCACCACAGCCTGCTCAAACATCACTGAGTTTGAGAGAGATTTGGCCAGATATTTTTATTCTGTTGCTCATTATAATTTTACATGTAACCTACATAGTTGTTTGTTAGTATAATATTTTGAAACTGAGATACTACATTCTTTCTCACATTATTCTGAAATGAGATATACCAGCAGGACATGCTGTTGAAAAAAAAAAAATCTCAGTTTATTTTTAAAAATGCATACAGTAATCATTCTACTGGACTTAAGCTTATGTAGATTGGAAACAGCATAGCTGAGATAGGCTCTGGATGTTGTTAAGCATACCTGTAACAAATTCTGACTGCTGAGGGTTGCTAAATCAAACTATTATTGTTATCTGCTTTAGCTGCCATCTGATATGACGGAAAAAGTACAAGAAAAGGCTGTCAAATGGAAAAACTTGTATGCTGTTCTGTATTAAAGCAAAAAGGATGTCTGAAATTTTTGAAGTTAGAAAAAAAACAGTGGTCTCATGGCAACTGTGGCTCAAAAAGAGGCTCCACCAAGTAAACAAGAGATACTGCATAGACAACACAAATGTAAGAACAGATTGTTCCCTGCAAAGATGTCACAAAGCATCACTTTGCAAGTTCGAAAATTGCTGGTATGCTAAACTGAATTTACAAGTTCAGGAAATAAATACTCACTTTTCCAAGTACTGTGAAATTAGTAAAAGATGAGAAGGGTGTATGACAGGGAAAAAAAAGGATTTGAGTGTTTTTCTTCCCCCCCAAAAAATGATGATTCTATGAAATCATCCATTGACACGAGAGCTCGAAAACTAATGGAATGACAGAGATAAGTGTGAGAGAGGAACTTTTGCCAGAAAGGATCAGTTTTAGACTATCAAGTAAAGAAGATACAAGCAAGAATAAAGATGTGCATCTCCTGTTCAGAGTGATGAAACAAATAGGTATAAACAGAAAGTTTGGAGATCCCCATTCTGGTAAGCAATTCTACAGACACAGCTATACCACAGCCCACAATGAAATGTATACTTCCTGACAACTGTAAACAGCAGCTCAGAGCTCTGAGTAAGTGAATTTGTCATGCCAAAAAGTAACCAGAATTCTGCACTGCTGCTGGACTGCTTGTTTAAAGACTACTGGAGAATTCCTGTTCTTCTCTGCAGTCTGCATGATAAATATATCTTACATTAATCCTTTCTAGGCTACCTACCATCCCTACTAAAAGTGGACAAATGGATGACTTTTTGTTTTAATCTAGTTGTAAAGATATTGCCAAGGTCATAAGTTTGAGTTTTTCAGGAACTCTTGTCAAAAACCGTATGTTTAGCCCTGACTGTTACTGAGCTTTAAAAAAAAAAAATAGAGAGGTCCACAAGGACTCCACGGGCATTGTGTAGAAGCAAAATTGGGGCTAAAGACAATTCTTATCTACAATATCAAAATAATCCAACCAGAGGTGAGATAGTAAGCCTCATACACTTTCAGTTCTTGTTGGATATTCTCCATCAAACATTACATTTCTTCTATTTTCTCAAATGACTACCATAATCATTTGAACAAGGTAATTTTTTTTTCATTAAAGGATATTAGTCTAAGTAGAACGGACAATTTTTATGTGTATTTATTTTATATAATACGATTAAAATAAGGCACTACTACATGTTATTTCTACATTACAGTATTTCATGAACATGCAGGTTTCAAGATGTTTCCTTTTTAAATTGAACAATCAACTGTCATATCATTTCTTAATTTATTTAGCACATATCTAAAAAGAAAATAAGTATTGAAAGACTACTTATGTCATATACAAAATTTACCTCTATGAACTACTTAACAGTTTGTGATTGTACCCCTCTGATTTCACTATCATGAGCAGAATCTAACTTTCTTAATCATGCTAGAGGATATTTTTAATTTTTCATACAAAGAGAGTTTATGGCAATAGCATATAGTAATATATTAACCTTAAACAATACTATCAAGACATTACTTTTTTAATTTCTTTTTTCCCCTTAGATTTCTTTATTTTGAATTTATATTTAAGCAGTTGTAAGGATTACTTTTCTGAAAAAGATGAACTTTACCAAATATGAGTCATATTTGATATCTTATTTACATTCTTATTTCCAATCCCTTTATAAATATATGTATATATGATCGCTTTTCCATTTCAATATGAAATTTGGTCATCTCATTCTGATCACTTAGGTCATCCTCTACATCTTTCCTTGAGCAATTGATCAAACCAGAGAAGCATTTATACATCTCCCACACAAAAGATTAACAACTCAATAAAGATATTTTGTAAGAAAAGCAGATAATATACTATTTACAAAAAAACATGCAGCAAAGCAAGATAAGCATTGTAATATATTAGAAAAACCTACTTTTGCATTAATCTATAGTACCTTAGGAGCTTCCTAATGAAAAAGGCAAACAACTTGTACCTAAACAGAATATCAAACCAAAATAAATTCAATAGCACAATGAGAGAATTCATTTTTTATTCAAGTAAGGTTTTGATTATTTTGATGTACTTTAAAATGCAAGAACCAAGTTTCATACACAAGAAATTTGTTTCTTTAAACAAGGTACAAATTTTTTGCCCATCTTCTACTTGAGGCGCTACTATTATTTGGAAAATGCAAAATGTATGTGTTAAGTAATGAATGATTTAAAGAGACATTCATCTTTATATAATGACCTCAAGCACAAAATTATTTATTGCTTAAACAGTACACAGATTTTATATGTGGGATGCATAGCCATCGTCGCCATTGAAAACTGTATGAGTTCAATATTGGGCAGAAATCAAACAAAAACTAGTTGTCTCTTTAAATTTTAACTTAATATTTTCACCCCCATGCAGAATTTTACAGGCTGCTCACAAGATGACATGAAAGCTGTTAATATGATTTAAAGAAACACACTCAAAATATGGGAAAACGGACTATAATGTAACGTTTTCCTGCTATGCATTTTCCATAACAAACAAAAGAAAAACCCACAACTTTAGTCTCTGTCAGGCAGACGAAGTCTTTACCTGAACCCTAGGAACAAAAGGCGTTGTTCTTCTACTAAGGCTTTGGCTCTGGTAAGCAAAATTAAAGAAAAAGCAATAAAACAAAACCAAAAAGGACAACACGCTGGAAACTAAAAGACCAAAAGTAAAAACAAAGACACACAACTATTACTTTAAACACAGCTTTACACCAACAACATATTTATCTAACACAAAGTATTTTAGTGCAATGCATAAATTAAATCTGCAAATCTGTTACCAAATCATATCAAAACCCTGTATTGGAAATTCTTGCCTAAGGGAAGTCAGCAGGAATTTTACCACTGATTCCCCAGGAGCAAGGATTTCTCTTCACATTTACAATAGATTTAGAAATAACATGTAACAAAAAGAACAGGTCAGCAAAGTGTGATTTAAAAGTGGGGTTGGAAACATAATTTAAGCTTAATCACATCTTTCAGAAAGATTGTAGATGCATATTCGGAGAGAAACAAGCACAGTACATGCACTGACAGTTTTGGTTGCTTTGTAAAGTAAAGCAAGTAAAATAAAAGGTTTTTTCTTCTCTGCAACATTAAAAGGCATCTCTATAAAAAAACCCTCCTAAATAATTTTAGAACTATTAAAAGAAAGTTAGTGCTCTCTGGTATTAGCATTACCTGGGGGAAGGTACAGTCTATGTATTTCAATTCTCTAGCAATCATGACAGAAATGACATATGGTATATGCAGAAAACCCTTGCATGAAATGGCATCTAGAGCATTTAGCAAACTGCAGAGATAGACACATTTATAACTCTTATTTCTGTGATGTAACTATTCAGACCACATACAACCTTGTGGCTTCCAGTGGCTACCTCAAGACTACATTAGCACAGGAAACACTCCAAAATACTAATTCCAAGCAACCGCTCTCCATCCTTCATTTAGGGCAACAGCTAATGGAGTGGCACAGAATTGGTACAAAGTATGAGGTGTAAACACGAACCAGAGCACACGTTGATACCTCAGAGGGCCAGCGAGTGGGAGACCAGAAGCACGGACAGCATCTGACAGATTGGAATCTCTTTATCTCCCTGCTCAGTTTTCCTGAGATTATTGATCTAACTCAAAATGATACAAAGAAGCTCCTATTCAATATTCACTTCCATAAGAAATGTACCCAAAGCATGGAGATAGGCAGCGTGATGATGCTTCTGCCACCCTCCTTGCTTATTTGGCACGCACAGATGTTGGAGAAATCTGTTCCATAAAATGTGTGAAGTAATCTGTTCTTACACCAAAGCAAGAGGATAGATAAGAAAACTTGACAGTCCGGATCACAGGTTTTGTCTGCTGTGCTCCCTGTGCTCTGTGAGGTGCCCCCCACGATGCATGGGCAGGACTGCAGAGCCAGGTGTATGGGTGCTAGAATTGACCTACTCACATACAATAAAAGTAGATCTTCAGCTTGCTTCTGCTCCATTTTACAAAGGAAAAACAGATATTCCAGAATTATGCAATCCTAAGAGGGACATATCTCCCACAACACACCAAGGGTCCTCAGCTGTCATATTCTGCCTTGGAAATGGAGAGCAATAAGCATCCTGTGTGCACTACGTAGAACTTTTCATGTTTTGATGTTAGAGCAACAGTAATTTAATTGTATAGAGGTAGAAAGGGGAGAGGAAAAAAAAGGGGAAAGGGGAAAAGTTGAAAGGAGTAAGGGAAGCCTGTCTCATACTAATCTCATCCCCTCAATGCGCTGACATATATGCCCTTCACAATGTACAATAAACACTTTCCAATATACTACAGATATTATAACTATTATTTCTGTAACTGTATTTTTATTGCTTAATAAACTAAATATATATGGAAAATCTATTGAAGTGGTCCTATGGTTCAGGTGTACAAAAAACTTGATTAATCTCATAAATAACATCCTTTTTCTGTTAGAATCTCTGCCAGCACAGAAATTAAGTATTGTGATTTTATACTTGGTTCAATTTACATGGTCTTCTAGTTATGTTATTATTCATTATTGCAAAAGCATTCCAAGTTATACTTTTCATGCAGTAATGAAAAAGTAGCCAAAATGCAGTAATGAAGCAACACACAAAGAATACTTTTGACTTTTTCAAAATGATATTAAAGGAAAAACAAGTCAGTGAAAAAACACAGAAACAGGAAGCAGACAAAACAAATAATAATAAAACTATAATTGCAATAACAGTCAGATACTCCCCTGAAAGAACAATGTGGATAAAAAGTGCCATAAAATGAAGAGAATATGGATAAATTATTTCTATACCTTAGTAAGTTATAACACACAATAGTTTACTGAAGTTGCACATCGTTTGTTCAATTAAATATGTATTTGAGCAGAATAATCATTAATGTAAAGAAAATTTCCTATCTATGTGAGATGGTTTACTTTGCTGACAATCCTATTAGTCAGCATCACTGTAACCTCAACAGAAGAAAACAGGTACACAGACCAATGCCAATACAGAGGAAAATATGGAAGATTGAATTGACAAAGACATCCTTGAATACTAGAGGCATCACTGCAGCTAAATTCGCTAAAACCATTCTGAACACAAAGAAACACATTCCAAAATACCATTAATATATAAAAATCTTTTAAGGATCTATAGCACTGTCTGAATAAGAAAGCATATATCAAAGTATTCTATTACTTCAGATCTCCATCTGAACTGTAGTATCTCTACTTCTGCCCACAACTCTTGTATTTTGCAACCTATTAACCACAGCTGCCCTAACAACAGCCCTTTAGGACTACATGCTATTGTCCAAAAGAACAGAAAATACAGAAAACACTTCCAAAATCTTATCCCTCATATTCATTACACCTGTCTGAATTCAGCCACCATCACCCAGAATGTCACTGACCTGCCTCTTCCACAAAGAACAGCATCCTGTCCCCCTTTACTGACAGGGTTCTGTAGTTATTCTCCTGCCTAGGCACTCACCACAAAGATTACATTCACAATTGCATTTGGAATTTAGTATTTCCTTTCATTTCTATCTTAATCAGCTATTTGGAATGAATATGTGATCCATCAATCGTTCTGTTAGAAAACAACTGATTAAAACCGAGAAAACCAAAATACTGAAGAATGTCTGTTTTGTAGATGTCTACTAATCTTAGATGTCTAAATTGCAACGTTAGAGTTACAGAGCATTTCTAACTTCAGTGTCAGTCAGCTAGATCTTTGGTTCTCAGTCATCAGCTGCTCTCTGAGGGAAACACAGATAATATGTAGTAGGAAGTATTGTATGTAATGGCAAACAGTTCATAAGGAAGTACCAAATGTAGGAAAGACCTTTGAATGTCTCTTAACATTATTTGGTTTCCTTAGATGGAATTAAACTTATTAGTAAAGATATTTTTATGTTGAAACAAACAAAAATAAATAGAAATAGGAATTGTGCCTTCTTGAGTTAAACAATGAATTTATATGCCATTCTGAGAAATGAAACCTTGGGATTTCTGTTATTCTCAGTAAACCAGAACATACCTCCAAATTTCCCAATACTGCAGTGTCCTATCAAACCACTAAATCAACAAACTTACTGATTTTACTAGTAAATCCTAATCTTAAACTCATGAAGATTTTTATCTGAAACCAAGAAAGTGAGAAAGTCAGTTCTGTGTGGTTCAGATTTGGACCATCGTTCCACAGCATGTATGCATTGGTCATCTGAGCAGCTAACTATGGACCTTGAATTTCTTGGTGGGAACTAGGCACCAAAACTTTTTGACAGCATAATCTTTTACAAAGTTTAGACAAAAGAAATTTCTTTCCTCCCTGTCTCCACTACCAACAATTTTTGCTGTCTTCTAAAGCTAAAAGGGTTTTTAGAAACCTTGGTCTGTTCATTTTCACTGTTCATGTTTGTGTTTCCTTGTAATTGTGCTTTGTGCAACGCATTCTGCACTCTACAGTCAAGATTTCTAGTTTTCCATTCATCCAAAGGATTGAGTCTTTCGAAGTAGTTAAGTACAACAGTTACAGAAAATTAAAAATTATGTATTGGTTGTTCTGATGAGCAAACAAATAATGTCTCATGCACTGCAAAATGGAGCCAACACAGGTCACTGAAGAGACAGAAAAATATTTCTGTGAGACCTATAAACAGTCTGCTTAGACTTTATGCATATTTTTATGGCACACTCAACATATACGACTTGGAAGTAAAATGAATGTGGAATTTCCAGACTTGTTTAACACCAGTTTTGCACTGCTTCCATTCCATTTATCTTTCCTTTTCAATGTAAGCTGCACCACAACTGAGCACTTTTGAAAAATCACACTTTGTAATTGTAAATAACATGGAAAGGTGTACAAAACCCAACTTTTTCAGTTTAGAACAAAAAATTACCCTTTAAAAGGAAACATTCATGTAATGAACTTTGTTGTCAATGAGAGCGTAGAACAAAAGTGAGTAACACTGGTACAAAGAATACAACATTAGTAAAATATCAAAGGGTTACTTGGGGAAGGCATATATGAAAGTTAGTGCATAAGAAATGAGCAATATTAATGTCCAAGCACACAGGTAATAAAATCTATTGAATCTACATGTAAGCGTGATAGTTGAAAAAATGTTTACACTCAACAGTACAAATATAACTGGAGGCCAAAATTAGACCTTTCTGAAAATTTGACTCTACCAGTCTAGCTTACCAGACAATTATACATGTATACACCCAATTCAACTTATATAAAATTTCCAAAAGCTAATAAAAGGGAATACACTTATGGCATTATGGTCCCACCTACACTGAGATATATAGCGTTAAACAAAAAAATTCAGCTAGTTTAACAAAAAATTTCTGTTAGAGGTAGCTTGCACTACAGTTAGAGTTGTATATGCTGCAAAAAGCACATTAATATCAATTAAATGTTTACATACTGAAAGTTGTCCAGACAAGAACTGTGGAACATCCCTTAACATGCCAGGACTCATAGGAGAAGTCACTGAAATAGAAGGTCGGTCCATTTTTTGAGATTCGAATGAACTTGAACCTGTAATTATAAACAAAAATATTTTATAAATAGTAGCAGTTATGCATTTTTCACAACATTCTTTAAATAAAAATTTTAGAAAAATAACCAAACATAAATATCACTTTTTTTAAATCTATTTAAAATTACCAAATAATGATACTCAGTCTTTCAGTGCTCAAATGCAATCAAAAGCTTTTATTCATAGAATGGAAAATAGTTTATTCAGATATTTCTGACTGTAATTATGTCAGTAAGTTGAAGGCCTAAAATTCCTAAATAATAAACACTTTACTGTGGTCAAAGGAAGTCAGTCTTCTGACTTATTATCTTATATAATCAGACTAAATTTGAATTAGATTTTTACAAAAATATTAAGATGTATGTAATGTTTCATGTGCATTTTGCTTCAAATCTACAAGATCTGCAAAGAGTCAGAGGACAAGTTTTGACGTATAAAACAGAGTAAAAGTAAAGTATTTTTATAAATACAAAAGACAATCCACATCTCACAAAACATAAAATGAATTTTAATAGTTGGCTGATGAGTAAAAAGTCATTGGATGAGTTTTTCATATTATTACAATCAAGATTATGCCACTTCATTTATTCATGGTTTTTATTATAATAGAGTTCTAAACCAATGATAAAAAATAACTTCAGGCTGAAATCCATCTTCTCAGATTTAAGCCAAAGAACAAGTTATTCTTCCCTACGTGAAATACTTCTTTCCCATTTTTAATTTATAAGATTCATTTGAAATGCAAAACAACAAAACAGGAAATTACAAATTGCTACTAATGTTCTTATATATTACTTAGAACTATGCTTTTTTTTCAGTCAAAGCCAGTGTAAACTTATGACCAATTGTCAAACCTAAATCAAAATATCCTGACTTTTGATAGCTTATTATTAAACAACGGTAGATAGATAATACAATAAGATGACATATTGAGACAAATACAGACAAACAGACAAGAGCTATACTGACTGCAGATGACATTTTTCAATCTATTTGTGCTTACATAAAAGAGAGAGAAGATTTTCCTACCCCACAATTGAAACTTACTGGACTCCAGCTGTGCATGTGTGCTGTCAGGTATTCTGGGAATGTCCCTGAAATCAGGAAAATTAAGACAGGCTGATCCTTTATCTAACAAGCATATTCAAATTTCAGTTACACTATAACACTTCTCAATCCAATATGGAATGCCTCAGGAAAGGTGTATGATCTGGTGGCTGTCTTCAGCCACTGGGATGATTCATCTCTTATCCCAGTATAAATAATTTCAGTGTAAAATTAAATTCCACAGAACACCTGGTTTGGTGAACACAGGAGAAAGGCTGCACGGTCACAAACAAAATAATTCAGTAAATGAAAGAACAATTTCAGAGTTAATGATAGAGTAAAACTGTGAGTAGTAAATCTTATGATGACATTATACATTAATGAAAATTACTGAACCCTCACTCAAATATACTCAACTGCCAATAATGGCTTTCCTAGTACCTTCTTTACTGTCCTTGAACCCCAAATTTGAGTAATCTTACTTTTTCCATTACTAAATAAAATGTACAAGTTCATTTGGCAGAATTGCTTACTTGAATATACAGGATGTGTTGCAACACCTGTATTAAATTGTGTGCACAGCCATGTAATTTTAAAGCATTCAGCGGCAATGAATGAGCACCCAACCACACCCACACCCTGCCAAGGAACATATTCTTCCTCTGAGGAGCAAGCGTTACTGTATGCTAATAAAAACTATCAATATGATTAATAAATAATTTCAGAGGTACTTGAGCAAAACCAAGCAAGATGAAGAGTTTCAGCAGCAACAATATTTAAAATCAGGTGGTGTGTTTCAGCACAGTGGTGTGTTTCAGCACTGGGTGCCGGTGCCCTGCGCTGGCAGCGGCGGCTGCCCCGTGCCGGGCACAGCCAGTCCCAGTGGCTCCTTGGCCACGGTAGCTGTGCTTCTGTGACAACATACTTAAGAAAGAGCAAAACAGCTGTGTGGCAGCTGTGAGAGAAAATACTGAGAAAAAAAGCCATGAAAGAAACATCCCTGCAGACACCAAGGTCAAGGAAGAAGGAGGGGGAGGAGGACTGGGCCGCAACTCCCATTCCCCATCCTCTGCACTGCTGGGTGGAGGAGGAGGCAGAAAAATCAGGAACAAAGGAGTGAATTTGAGCCTAGGAAGAAGGGAGGTAAGGGTAAGGTGGGTTCAGTTTTGGTTTTATTTCTCACTATTCTATTCTTTTCCATCTTATTTCCTCCCTTTGAGGAGTCCTTCTGTGGAGGGGAAAGGAGAGAGTGAGTGTTTGGTGCTCAGTCAAGATGAACTCCCCGCAAAGGTCAATGAAAAATGCTTGCAGTGATCTCTATCTACTGTCTCATACAATGGAAAAAAGAGTCTGTATGATATATAAATAAAACTTATCTACTTCCTTTAGTATAGCTTTTCCAGTATACCTTTAGTATACCTTTTCCAAACATTTTTCTAGACTCACTAGAAAAACACCTTTACTAAGCAGATTGAGTGAGTTGATGCACAGTATCCAATAATTCAAGCAAATCAGAAGGCAGGCAACTGCTCTAAGTGCCCACTGCAGACAAGGATAAACCTCTGTTTTTAGTAAACAAAATTTGTCAGAACTCACAAGGGCTATTGAAGAAGCAAAGATTTAATTTTGCGTATTTGATATGTGTAGAATTTATAAAGGGATCCAATACTCCCCTATTACTTTAATCAGAAACCCATTCCTTAGCTTAACTTGTCATTTCAAAAAAGCATTTCTATCATATGAGTTTGAAAATAAAACCATGAAAACATATAAATATCATTGTGAACAGATTGAATATGAGTTTTCTATAGGTAGCTGAAACAATAAGCTTGAAAGCTTTGAACACTGTTGCTAAAGCATACAGATCCCAATATTTCATGGTAGTGTGAATGGTATTTCTCGCAAGGAACTCTCACTGAGATAAACAGATGTAGGAGAAGCAGAAGTAGTTTTAGACATCTTGCATTTTAAGATCCATTTCACTGCAAGCAGATTGTATAGCATAATTATTAAAACACAGTGCACCATTTCTACCAAATTAAAAATAGTAGAAACCATGAAAACAACATGCACTTCAAATTAATGATTTCTGAGAATTAGAAAGCAAAAAATATGTAAGTTCTTGTGTATAAGGAACAGCCGACTCACACTAACAGCAACTTGGCCATCAATTTAAGATGGAAAAAAGGGGTCAATAGCATGGCAAAATGGAATGTTTTGTGCTGTTGCGTTTTTGTAAAACAGCTTTCCATTTTGTCTGCCTTTCTCAGTTTATCTTGTCATTTTCAGTTTTCATAGCACTCAGCCTATAATAAAGAGAACTAAGAATTGCTTTTACTGGAATTTTTTTTGTACTCAGAATATCGGGATGTGACAACAGGTTCTCAGCTAGGTTAATTGCCAGTAACTGAAGACTTCTGGCATGATTTAGTGTGTTGCCATGAGACCACCAACAGACTCTGTAAGTAATAGGATATATCTCAATGCAAAATGAAATCCTTCAATCAGGTAGTAATTATTCTAATTGAAATAAATATCACTTCTGACACCTGGCAAATACAAACTTTTAATGATTTTAAATACATTTATTATTTAAATACTTTATTTCCTCGGGCAGAACACAAACATATGATGTTATGTTTCATTGGGCAAGCACAGGGTATTAATTTCTATTGTCCATTCGATTATGAACTGAAATCTTCTAAACTGAGAAGCGAATATGGTCTTTCCAGTTCACCAGCTCGAACCTCATGGAAGACATTTCTGAAGTTGTCAATATCAGACTCCAAATAGTTACACACACCTAACCAGATTCTAAAACCTTACCAATTTGTGCAAAGAATTCATCACTGAGACTCTTTTACACCTACTGCAAAAAGACGCTGGGAATCAAATACACTGAACAACTGCTTGATCACTGATCTCTCAGTTCTTCAGACTACGAGGCAAGCCATTAGTGTGGAAGAAGGCATCTTGAGAGCCCACATCACTTTGTGTAAGGAATTACAGAGGAGCTGGTCTAGTGATAGCAAGTGGAGCACATGGTAACATAACAGAAGACATGATGATAAGGAAGGTAAACAACAGACAGCAAATATAAAAGCACAGGAAAGAATGCAGGAGGTTTCACACAATGAAGAGAATGCAGAAAGCTAAAAAAATTGAGTATTTTCAAGACATGAGTGAAAGGTTCCTTGAAATTTTCCTACAAACTTCTGTTTGAGAGATATTATGAAAGATTTACACCTCTATGAATTTGAGATCTCTTTTTCTGTAACAGTATTCTTCTAATAATGTAGTCTGTCCCTTAGCATTACTATTATACCTACAACTCCCAAATTATGCAAAGGTTTTTAAGGATAGGACAGATGATACAGGCTTTACCCTAAAGGGGTTGCAATTCCATATGTTTGTGGGAAATAATCTCTCATATCACTGACAAGATAAAACAGTTATTGTTATTATCAAGTTTGTTTAAAATTGTCATGCCAAATTAAGTCCCTACATGTTAAGTTCCTGATGTGTCAAAGATATTAAATTCCTACTATAGCTGAAACAATAACAAATTATCCTCACTGAAATTCCATTCTCATATTATAGGGTTCTAGATTTTTTAGTACTTCTCAGTTTTTAGTTGTTATGTTACCCATGCTTTCATATATAAAGGTATGATAATTGTGTGCATCGTGTACAAATAAAGGGATAAATATATTTATTACAATATAATTATAGAATCCTTCCAGCCCAGGGTAGAAGTGATCTTGAAAGATCATCTAGTCCAACCTCACATGGAAAAGGGAGCCTAGGTGAGATTACCTAGTACCCTGTCCAGTTGTGTCATGTACATCACAATAAATATTGAGGGGGGAAAAAAGAAAACTCTTAACAACTGTAAGTATCTTCAAATTCAGTGATAAACATTCCCCTCCTCACAGCCCTTGTGTGATCAGATATAGAACTTCCAATGGAGTAAAAAAGTGATGGATATGACCTTAGCATGTAGGAACTTGGAAGAAAAAGAACAGATGAAGAAGGGAAAGTATTCACAGTCTAATATAACAAAGCTACTATTGCTATGCAAGAAAAATTTAAGTTTAGACATTGAGAGATAGGTTTGAAGGATAAGAAAAATAGTCAATGTAAAGCACCGAAGAAAAAGTCCCACACAGTCCTAGCTATTCATTCAGATATGTTCTGTAGTAGATAACAAGCAATAATTTAATAGATTCCATAGATGAAGATGATGCAAATTTGGATATAGGACTTTCTGAAGCATACGGATTATGACATTAGCATACTGTATTTTGTGGAAAATTCTACATTGCTGACTCCCAATAAATAGAGTTCATAATCAGTCCACAGACCAAATATGATCCTATAATTATATATATATATTATAAAAAAATAGAAAAATAAGAATGAACAGTCAAGAATTACAACAAGTATAACCACAGTTAAAGAGCCAATATAGGCTGGATCACCAACTGAACAGCCACAGAAGGGAACCTAGCAGATAATGCCTGGGGCTCTCTCAGAGAATACAGGATTTCACACCAGCTCTTTTTACTCACTGATATGATCTATCACTCTAGCTATGCTCTTGGTTTACTGAATTCTGCCTAAAAGTTTTACTGTTTATAGTGTTTATGAATGTTTGATATCTCTGCCCTAAAAGGGAAATTTAGCAATACTTTCATCATGTTTAATACCAAAAAATCATGACATTACTTACCCTATTGGTCTTGAAACTACAAGCTCCACTTGTGGCTCAGGTTTGGATTCTAAAATGATGTTATATACCTCCTCAAAAGTGGCTCCTTGTAGTAGCCTTCCATTCCATTCTAACACTTCATCACCTGAAATTTCAGTAATAACACTATGCTTAGGAAGTTTGTTATGGAATGCATTTACAATGACAATTTAAGCCATTCTACTGTCATTTTTCTGGATTGGGAAACTTGTATTGTAGAACAAGTTTGAACTCCTTCACGCAGGAAAATTCTGGGTATTAAAGGTTTATGCTTTATATATGTAAAGTTTGTTGAAACAATAATATTGTCAGTAGGACCCCTTTTGAGTAACATACAGTTTGGACTCACTTTGACAGCTGTGGCTCTTCAGAAAATTCACATCTTTAGAACAGCATATCTCATCAACTTACTGTTTTAAAGATCCATTTACTTCTACAAGTTTAAGGTTCAGATAGTTTTTATGATAATAGTTAATATTTCTTGAACATTCTCCAATCTAGCAATCCATGGTTTGCATGTTGGGACAGAAGCAGCTTCCTAGCCAAGCTCGTTCTGCTCAGACATTTGTAATAGCTTGGTTTGCTCTAAATAAAATATACATCACACACTGACTGGGCAGGATATCAATGGAATATTATCATGAGCAAAATTTTTAAAATAGTTTTTAAACAACATGAGAATATATATATATATATTTCACAAAAGCAATGGTCTAGTAATTGAATGTCAAGTTGAATTCTGCAGTATTTCATCAGACCTATTTAACATAATTTCATACCTAATTAAACTTGCTTACTTGTTATCACCTTCAGAAAAGCAAATCAGCAGTATAGATCTGTAGTAGATACATACCTGGTCTAAGATGCCCCACTGTATCAGCTAAGCTTCCTTTTTTAACTTTGGTGATAAATGCGCAGAGTCGACCTGATTCAGTCATCTTTCCTCCTACTACCTGTTTCAAAGAGGAAATATTTTCATAGAATGAAAATTACTTTAAATTACTTAAATGTTCTGGCAACAGAAAGAATAATTCAGTTTTTTCCTTAGGTTTTATGTAGCTCAGATAAGGCAGATGCACTTAGAAAAAACAACAGAATTGTGGCTACGACAAGCTACTAATTTGGAGATTAGTACAATTTAAAAACAATGCAAATACAGAATGCTAAAGCTTTTAAATTTTAGCAAATACATGCATAGTATTTTATTGTATTATAAATTGCCACCCAAAGCATTGTAAGGTGTTGGTCAATAGACTGCTTACTTCAATATTTTTTTAACTGGAAAAAGTTATATTAATATAACAGAACTCACAATGTTCACACTAAGCATCAAACGTCTCAATAATTGAAATTCCCTTTGGTTGGGCAAGTCAGATGAAAATACTTGTCATTCTGAATATTTCTCTATGGGAAACTTCAGGAGGTTTAACCTTTTCATCTTAGAATCAGGAGATTCACTTCAGAATCGGTCATAACTGCATAATTTTCAAATTCTTAAAGTTTCTGAACAGTCTTCACATTGTGATTTAAAATTTGTAATATTAAATTCAGTTTAGTTTACTTTCAATATGTAAATATTTGAAAGTCGAGGTCAGGAATAACTGCTGATCACTCTTTTCAGATGTTTATTGAGATTAAAAAGCAGTGTACTCTTAAATCTGAACAACTAATGAATCTCAGTAAAGAATTCATCTTAATAATACAAGACTTCAGAAATTTTAATATAAATGTTTAAACAAAAAGTGTTTCTTAATGGCACTGTTAGTTGCTTCTCTTGCATTTTCTGATATTAAGACAAAAATAAACACAAAATTTGATGTCCAACTGGCTTGTCCACTGACTTCAAACAAAAATATCTGTCAATGAAATAAAAAATTCAAATATTTCCAAAGCATGTTAGTATATGTTATAAGTAACTAGACTGATTTAATCCCTATTAATAGGATATGACTATAGCCTAATCTGCATATCCAAAGTGAAGTAAGAGTTGTGCTAAATAGAGAACGGAAAATTAAAACTTCTTAATAATTTCTCACAACAGGGATGTGGAATCAAAATAAATATATATTTGTTTATTTCACTCTGTATAATTCATTCTCATTCTTGTACTAGTATTTCTGGAACTGCAAATACTAGTATCACACAAAACTGAGATCAAAATGTGAGCTAGAAATAACTTCATAACGTTTAAAGAGCACTGCATCATGAAAAAGAGGTGAATATAGGAAAAAGAGGTGAATACATTATTTCATTATAAAAATCAATAAATATTAAATAACTTTCTGGTTTGTGTTTTTAAAATGTGGCAAATCAAACAATCAGAAAATCCAGAAAGAGGCTGTTACATTGGCAGACTCTGATCTGTATTGAAATGTCATTAATTTGCAGGTGTCCCCCTAGTCTTCAAGAGCGATAATTTATTTTTCACTTTTCTCCTCTCTTTTGGGGAATAGGCATTGTACCATGGTGCAATGCTCAATACTGAAGAGCAAAGACAGGACTTGGCTTGCCTAGCAAGGATGCAATTAGTATTTTGCTAAGAACACATTTTCAGAATACTTGTGAAAACACGTCTAGTCTTTCAGAAAAATACAATTTTTTGAGCCTGCCAAGGACCCAGTAAAACTGCTCTAGGTAATTGAATATAAAATGTCTATCTTTAAATGTTGAGAATGACAAGATATTATTGCTATTTTCATGCATATGCTATATAATATGAGAATATTTTTATTACAAAGGTAGTTAGTTTAACCAAGAGAGTAGTTAGTTCCAAAGTTATTCATTACCAACCTTCAATCCAAGCATTGCTCCTGAATCTCTAGGCACACTTCCATCTTTTAGTCGCTTATTTAACAAAATCCGACCAATGAGACGATCTCCATCTTTGGATGGTTGCCAAGTTACTGGATGCTATCATATGGTGTTAATGGAAAATACAGTGAATAGGATTTTAATGAAAAATATTTCAGTAATACTTTTCATTTCCTGATATATTTTTAAAATGCCATGAAAGTATTATGATTACAGCAATATTTAATGCAATAGGATGACATAAAACTGTGCTGCAAAATATTTATTTGAACATATAGTTCATTACAATGTATGTCTAATATTTAATAACATTATCTATTTTACTAAATCCAATTTGTGAATATTTAGAATGATCTTTGCATCTTGATTTGACAGATATAACTCTGTATAGTTATCTACACACAATGACAATCACGCATGAGTTCTGAGAAAAACAACTGTATAAGTCTAGTATAAGAGTAATACTGGAAAAGAAGTTTAACTCGAACCAAAACTTTGATGTAAAAAATTTCTTCTTTTTCCACTATTACAATTGTGTCAATTTTTATCTGACCGACAAACATATTTAGTGTCTTACATTCTCAGTAGTCATATTTTAGAAAATTACAACATACACTAAAAGGTATAGTCATTACTTCAGTTAAACATTCTGTTTCTTTCTTGGAATAATCACTTCACATGTGAAGCACAGCTACAGTGAACATTATTATTCCGTTACTACATATGGGCACAGTTATACTTGTATATTGGCATAATTAATAATTTTTTAAGATTCTTTTCTGTGTAATCATAGTACTTTTTCACAGAAAAACACTATTTCATGCTCTATTTCATGCAAAATTAGCAGGCACAGATAAATCTGCTCCCATTACAACTAATAACTCTAAAAAGATTTATCATAATCTCCACCAAACAGAAAGCAAAAATAAAATATACCAAAGCAGATGGCAAAGCTTTTAATTCTGCACAATACTGCACAAAAATCTCATGGCAACAAAACAAATGAACAACCATGACAGTGAAAGGGAAAAAAGAAAAACAACTTTTCTGTGCAGAGAGACCCAATTTTCTCCCTTTTTCACCTGGGCTTTAAACTATTAATTTAATTTCAGCCCCAGGAGTTTGAACATAATAAATCAAATAAGCCAATTGGTAGAATCCTTATTGTTAATTACTTTATGCTTTAAGGTAATACCATGATATGCTATTTTGCAACGATAAGAACAACATTCCTTTATGCCTCTCAATTTTTTTTCTTAGGCTGCCAAACAGTAAAAGCTGCAAACATGCAAAGACTTTTCATTTGTTTTTCTTTTCTGCACCTTAAGAAATGCTATAATATCTCCAGAAACACCCTATCTTTTATTTTATGCACTATTTTAATGAGTGACAGAGAGCAAACAAAGACCAAATGAGCAGGTTAAAATGCAGGCTCCAAAATCTCAGTACCTTCTCACTATGGCTATGTTCCTCGTTTAGAGTTGTGCTACTACACGTATCTACCCCAGAGTCTTTTATCTGAGGCTCAGACCATTCCAAGTCCTCTTCCAAAGAGTGGCCACCAAAGCACACCATTTTCTTTTGCCTCTCGGATAAGGTGTTAGAATCCGACAAAACTGCCTGCTCACTAGTTTTTCTTTTTCCCTTTTGACTGTCCCCTATAGGTGTGGGATAAAAAAAGGATACAAAAAAGAAAACATGCAAAGGTGTAAATAAAACTAAGGAAATGTGAAATGATAAAGGAAACTAAATGGTAAGGCTCCACATGTCTCACCAAAGACATTGGGGAGGCCTCACTGCTATGCCAAGACGTATGGTCCAACCAGTTGTAATCCATGTCTCCTGTGAGAATCAGACAGACAAGATAGTGCAGTAAAGGAAAGGTGAAAGAAAGGACAGACAAAGACACAGTAAAACTGTAAAGATTTCTGATAATCCTATCTGATTCATAACCTCTTCCAGATGGACTTGCAAAGGGCTTCCAAGAAAAGTTAAGGCTCCAACAACAGAGTACATGGAATATGAAAAACATTGAGGAAGGAGACAAGTTTGTGCGTGTCTATGTGTGCACAAAATTATGTGCAGTGTAAAGCATCATCGATTCAGAGTTTTTAACTATCCCTACAAAGTTACTTACAGTAAATTAAATGAAAAGGCAAATTGTATTGTATTTCTAAGGGGATATTCATAAGGGAAAGCATTTGAATATGGAATGAATTTTCATTATAATCTAAAGGAACCATTCTGTCTTAAGGAATGTATCTCTTTACTTTTCTAACACAAATTAGTATTTATTCTAATCACTTCATTAAAATACCTAAAGCAATGGCACTCTGCATTCGCTGTACAGTAGATGACATTTCAAGGAAGGTTAAATGAAAAACAAATCTAGAAAATATATTTAGAATAAAAAGCATATTAATTTTGCTTTGTCTACTGGTTAAATATCAGGAAGAATTCTAGTATTGGGAATGTGTAGGGTTTTGACAAAATAAATAAATATTTTATAGAATCAGAATTTAACCTACATGGCAGATACATAGTAGAAAGAAAGGTTTGAAAAACAGTTTTAAATAAAAGGACTAAATTAATGCTGCTGTCCGTAGAATTGGGGAATGACTCGTATTTTAATAAAACATTCTCTTTCATGTAGATACTTTCAACTGTAAATTATGCCCACACATTTTGCATAATTAAACTTCTCTTTTTTTCCTCACCATTGTTACTACATGTTACATGAAAAATATTTTGTTACTATATGCTACAAAATATTTTTATAATACTGTATGCAGGAAACAAATGTTTAGTTTTCTATCAAATTTCATAACGAAAACAACACTAGAGCAAAGTAGCTCTGCTCTTTTAGTACAGACCACAAACAATATTTTTTTATTTCCATTACTTCAGATCCTACTTTGACATTACTCAACCGATTCCTTTAGAACTACACCGGTGAGGTGGTGAAAGGTAACTAACAAGTCTTTAGAAAAGTAAAATATAGTCCCTTGGAGGGATATATGTACCATAAAAAAAAATATTCTTTTTTCACTTGTTTTCTCCTAATATATAGACTTGCATATGCTATATGAAAAGAAAAAAATCAAGTCTCATTTTCATTTTAAAAAGGAAATATTCAGAATACAAAGGCTTTATTTTCAAAAAGACACTCTGAACACTTTGTCTCTTATGCGTTGCAGAAATATTCTAGTGTATAAAATAGCCTTTTCTTTCATAAAAACACTGTTAAAGTGACCTCATAAAATTATTTTGAAGCCCTAATTCATTTATATTTTCTACGTAATACTTAGGTCTGCTGTAAATCTATTAACTATGCTTCTTGATTCTTGAAAGGAATTTTAAAAATGGGAAATTCATATCAAAACTTCTTTGCCATGCATGTTAACATCTTGACTGTATTATAGATAAAAGCATGGCTATCCTGCTAAAGGAGAAAGAAATATTCTTCTGAAAGCTAATAACATTTTGCTAAATGTACTTCTTCCGTGGAATTTCCAGTCTTACCTCTGCCTCCAGACATTGCTTCAGGGGTACTGAGTGAAATCATCAGTGAGTTTATGAAGATCTAGCTCTTCCTCATAAATATACATTTAGAGATAACCAGACGATAGCAAGAGTTCCAGTCTATGTGTTCCCTATTTTCCATATTACCTGGGGCCTTTAAACATTAGTCCCAGGCTCAGCTTCTGATGTAACTGATTTCTGCTTATGCCAAGAGTCCTGTCACACGGGTATTAATGTATGGTCCATCCACATACTATATGTGTTAAAGATTAGACACATTTAGCCCAGCATAGCCAAGGCATTAATATATAGAGATTACTTATATTTTTAAAAATTCAGTTATTTTGCAAAAACATTTACTCTTCATCAAATGATAAGCCCTAACCTAAACCCGCGCAGAGGAACACTCACAAAGTTGAACCTCCCACTTCTTGCTCTAACATTTTCCTTTCTCTTTTTCAATCAATATGCAGAAAGCTGACTTTGTTTTTATTTTAGTTGTGTCTCATTTAGTGTGAGTAAATACTAATTATTTGGTATCTATAAAATGAAAATTAAATGAAAATAAGTAACAACTCTATCCAAAGACTTTTGGTTTTATCTGTATTATTTTTTCTATTACAATATGTAGTTCATATGTTCCCAAAAAATTGTACTAGAAATTAGAAATTACAAAGCCCTTGTAGATCTTACAGATTTTGCCCTTAACACTGCATTAAGTTATCTAAATGACAAGCCTAAATAGTACAAAAGTTAATAAAGGATGGCTGTCTGGAAGCCCTGTAGCTTAATACATTTCTATGAGAGGCATGTATGGCTTAGTATAACCACACCTTTTGAGTTACAATGAATGGCTTGATAAAATCCCTGGACATAAATTTTTCAGTAGAAGTCTGTTAAATATTAAAATCTTGTCTAGGTAAGTGATTTTTGAAATCCTGTTCTTCTTCTTGTTTGCCTACAAGAAAAATTGTTAAACCATAATCTTTCTGTAACAAAGACACAGTAGTTTTAATTGTGAGTACCAGAGAATGCACTTGCTGCTCTCTTAGATATTTCTCTTCCACAATAGAAGATGCCTTATTATTAAGAATATGTACATTTAGGTTATGAAGCAGTAATCAACCAGGAAAAAAATACCACCTCCCTGATAAACTATATAAGTTATAATATCAAAGCCATCTTTCATGAAAAAGGAACTAATATATTACTAAGCAAGATACAATCTGAGACAATGTCATTATAAGAGCATTCAGATGCTTCATGAGTCCAGGAGTGCAGCTGGATATAAGAAAGGACATATGTGAGATCTGCTCTTATTAATGTCAATGAGCTCTATTTGTACGTGGAAAGTTTGCATGAACAAATCAGGTTGGGAGAAAAATCACATCAGTGGCCTAGCTGTTCGGTATAAATGGTGTTAAGCTGAAACCTTTGTAAGCTTACTGATGTTTGGTTTGTTTTACTTATTTTCTTTAGACAAAACCAAACAGGCAGAGGAAAATATTTTCTTCTATATCCAGGAACCCACAGCAATGGGACCTTCCTATAGCAACGGGAACTTGAAATGTCAGTGTATATTTTAAAAGAATTTCAGTTAATTTCTGTTTCCCCTATATTTTAATGTTTTGGGTTTGTTTTTTTTTTCCTTCTTAGAATGGCTTTCCCACACAGAAATATGGTAATTGAGCATCTTTCATAAGACATTAAGGAATCTGCATATAATCTACATGGTATGTGTCTACTCTTTGAGTGTTGTCTAAGTTCATGATCAAGTTCAAACTCATTTTCCAAATAGTTTAGACATAAACCACTCAGTTTAATTGGCTATTCTACATATACAGAGTCATTTTGATGTTCTAGGGTGCTCAAAATCTTCACATAGAATATAAGAATGACCCAAGCCCTTTCTAACTAACCTTAGTAAACTGAAAACATCATCTTGCTTTGAACCAAATAAACCAAAAACCTTTTCTCAAGTTCAAATCTCACTGCCAAAAAAAACAGGTCATATAACTTTAAATTCTTCAACCTGAGAAGTCTTACTTGACTGCATATTGTATACTGAACACATACTACATACTGGCTAGTTGAGCCAATGATGGTACACACATGTCATTACTCAAAACTACAAACAATTTAACCTTGCAAATGAGTTAATACGTTTCCCCTCAAAGCCAATTTTCAGCATAAGACTAGAGTGAGCTGAGCACATTCCTGTCTCTTCATCCTCCTCTTAACTGAAAGGCTCCCAGTGCAGCCCTGTACCAGAAGGGCTCTGGAGAGAAGTAAAAAGTGGACTACAGCTATTGAAGAACTTTCATTTAAGCAGGTTACTTTTTGTGCTTGCAGTACTATCCATCTAGACTGCCACACAGTGGGTGACTCCGAAGAGGAGCTACACAGCCAGAATTGCCTGGAGGTGATTATGTGAGAGCTTAAACAATTGCTTTGTCAGCTCTGGACACTTCAGGGACATGCTAGCTTTTGGTGCAGGAAAAAATGCAAAGCTGTCTGGCGCATGTAAAGTACAGAAATATTTTTCAACACAGTCACTAATGCAGTTTGAGCACTGATACCAAAAAGAAGCATCTTCTTGTAGGTCTTATAGCAGGCTTTGAAAATTCCTGTCATGTGTTTCAACATTTCTTGTTGGGAAATAATTATTCCTCTGAATTTGTCAACTTTCAACATGGAACAGCCTAAGAAAACATCCGAAGGACCTGGTCCTACCAAAACAAAAAAAAGAGAAGCTGTTCTTTATGTAAAGGATATGAAATACAGTCTTGACTTTTAATATATGCAATACAGAGGAATGCAGCAATTAGGAGGAAAATGTATCAATCTTCACTAGCGATAAGGAAACTGTAGAGCATTCTCTGATGTTTGTACTTAGCCCCAACTATGTAAATCAGTAGCAACTATGCTAGGAGCTGTACGTAAAGGCCTGCATAGCCTTACTACAATGGGCAGGGAAGTCTCAGGGCAACCAGGTAATTAAATGCAAAAGATCTGGGAGGTCTTTTGTCAGATCTCCAAGAAAGCAGACTATGACCTGCTTGTGAGATTCAGTGCTGCAGTGTTTAAGAGAAGTCAAAGATGAAGTAGTGCAATGATGCTTCTATACAGGATCTTG